TAAAAAACCAACAAACACATGTACAATAATGAAATTGTAATCAAACATTTGCCTTAGACATTTTGCGACATCTATATGTTTATTTGTTTTATTTTTCCCAAAAATGAAAAGGTACCTTAGGGGGGCTTAAAGCACCGTTTTATTTTACAAAGTACCTAATAGGGTTGGTTGGCATGCAATGGGTTTTGTTTGAAAACAGTAGCCCCAAGCCAAATAATAACCCCACACCACATGAATACACATATACCTCCACATTAGTATGTGGGTACATTATGTCACATTATGCCTTAAAGTGTCATCAAAAAAACATAGGGCAAGAGCAATTGCATTAGGTGAACATACATAAATAAGAAAAGAAAAAAACACATGTACAATACAGAAACTATAATCAGATATTTGCACTAGACATTTTTGAGACATTCCCATTTTTTTGTTTTATTTTGCAAAAAAAAAGGACCTGAAGGGGGGCTTAAAGCACCTTTCATTTTACAAGGTACCTTATAGGGTTGGTTGGCATGCAATGGGTGTGGTTTGCAAAACTGTAACCCCAAGCCAACTAATGACTAATAACACCACACCACCTGAATACATGCGTATTAATGCATACATATATATATTTAAATATATATATATAGACAGTGATATTTAGGCACATTACGTCTTAGAGTTTCATCAAAATAATCATAGGACAAGAGCAGCACATAAATAACAAAACAAACAAGATATGTACAATACTGAAATTGCAATAAAATAATTGCTCTCGACATTTTGAGACATCTCCATTTCTATTTCTTTAATGTTTTATTTTTCCAAAAAATGAAAGGTACCTTAAGATGGCTTAAAGCACCTTTCATTTTCCTAGGTACCATTGTGGAACCAGTTTTTGAACATGTTAGGCTTCGGTTTCGGGAACCAATTTTCAGACGTTTTGAGACATCTCCAGTTCTACTTTTTTAAGTTTTGTTCAATGAAAATGAAAAAGCCATGCAACATCCATTGTGAAGTATAGATATCACATTTGTTGATTGATACATTCACAAGGTCTTTGGTATTTATGTTGTAAGCTTTTCTGACATCATCATGGGCAAAACATGTTCTTCATGGAGTTACTTTTGGTGAAAGGCTGGAATTTACGTCAAGTGTACACTTAGGGATGTCTCAAAATAGGAGTGCCCCAAAGCTCTGTTTTGCACACTAAAAAACAAGGGCTTGGGGCCCCCTATCTTGAGACATCCCCAATTGCATATACCATCTGTGTAGCACACTGGTGCTCAAGATTGAAGTTACTTGTCACTTGTCGCCCCTGTTAGTAACCTCATGAAGAGGCCTGCTTGTCCACCTGATGCTATGCTTGCATGTTGCCTCCACCTGAACCAGCACCAGAATCTGTAGAACAGGCTTCTCCAGAAGAAACTGCCCCATGAGCTGACTTAGATTCTTAGATACTGCAGCACCCAAGGCAAAGGCCAAAGCCTAGGTGAAAGCATAATCTAAAGTCAAGGCAAAGGCAGCAGGTAAAGCCAAGGCTGCTGCCAGCAAAGCTCCTGGGGTTACTTCTTCGCCAATGAAAGCTCAAAAGGCAAAAGCCAAGAGCACAATGAAGAAAATCCTGACAAGACCTGATGCAGCTGAAGGCGAAAGCCAAGGCCAAAGCGAAGACTGTCAAGGAGATGGCAGCAGGATGGAAGAAGACCAGGGATGAGCCAGTTCCTGATGACCATGCAGAAGGAGAAGATAAGGAGCCTAAAGAGGAGGATGCAGCAGTTGCTGATGATGAGCATCGAAGCTACCCCAAGGTAAGGAAATGTGCCAGAATGATCAAAAGTGGCCAGGTGCCAGAAGATCTTCAGCAGCTCTATGAAGAAGAGGGCTCCAAGAATTCTCTTGAACACCAGAGGCGAGTCTGTGTTTGCTCCTGGAAATATCCAGTGTCCGAAGTTTTCAAGAAGAACTCTGAGATTTGCAACAAATCTCAGATTACTGGGTTGGCTTAGGTTGTGGACAAAATCCAGGGAAACCAGCAAGCTTTGAATGAGCAGAAAGACGAGGTGATGTCTATCAGAAAGATGGTTACTATCATGTCAGGACAATAGCCACAGCCATTGAGAAGAAGCAGGGCAGTTCCAGGGTCTTGCATGGTGGCCAAGCCAACATCACCAAGGATGAGTTATTCGCAGATGAGTCAATTCATGTCGAGCAGGCCCTGGAGCCAGCTTGGCACTGGAGCTAGTTGTGGTGGTAGTGGTGGTTGTGGTAGTTGTAGCAGTGCTTCCTCTACACCAGCTGTGGTTACTTCATCCTCAGCATTGCCAAAAGCGATTTCTGATGCTCCTGTTAAACTGAGCTGGGCAAGTGTGCAGCATGACATCAAAGAAACCAAAGTGGTTCAGGAGCGACTGGGTAGAGACAAGAAAGACCAAAAATCAATGATACTTTGAAGGATGCCCTCACTGAGCTTTCAAAGACAGAATGCATGCTTGGACAATGCTTCATTGCCAAGTATGACTGGTTCATTATTGCCATGATCTTGTTTCATGCCGTTTCTGACTTTTCCTCATTTTTGCCATGCTGTTGTTTCATAAATTTTGTCAGTGACACAAACACTACCCATGATCAAATCATTTGATCCAATCCAAGTGCCAAGGGAAAAACATGAGACCCTGTCAAAATACATGAAATAAACCCATGCACATATGTCAGCAGCACGTATATAGTAACCCCAAGAGAACATCAGACACATACCATATAACAAACGAAAATAAATAAATATATATGTAAAAACGAAGTGAAAAAACATAACCCTTAAAAATTACCTTGAAAAAGGTTCTCAATAATTACCTTCAAAGGTAATTTTTTAACTAATAGTTAAAAAAAATCGACCAAAATTATCTTCAAAAAGGTATTTTTTTTAGAGTTACCTATTTTGCTCCAAATAACCTTGCCTGACCTATAGGGTACCTTCCATCCCTTTTGTCAAACACATAATCTGCCATCCAGTCTTGATGACCATGGTGAAGTCTTCGCAAAATCGGCCATTTCTCCACGAGGCCAGAAAAAGGTCATTAAGAAAAACAACAGATATCTTTTCTGGGGCACCATGGATCATGCAATGTGCCATGGCACCACCGCGAAAAAAATGACTGACTGACTTTTCGGGGCTGCCCCAGCCTGAATTCATGGTTGGAATCCTTCATGGTACTGCGACCACTTGGTAGATTCAGATGGGGATGGTATGACTGGCTGGTAAAGGTACAAGCTACCAGTGCTTGGGAGTGGAGTAGAGGTTGATAAGTTGATACAAAGCACATTTACACATATATTCTCATGGAGTTGCATGTAGAACTATACATACACGTATGCAAGATACACGTGGACCCCCAATTGACCCATACACACGGGTAACTACACCACAAATTGTTTCCTAGAAAAAACATTTTTGGTGGGTCAGCTGAGGCTCAATTTACATAGACCCAATATATGTATGTATATGTATACACATTCTATACGATATTCATATTTTCTTGATGCTGTGTTCGGAACATTCATAGAACATTAGTGTGTTTTACATTAATATATATATATGTATATATCATCCATGTTGAATATCATCATTACTACCAATTTCATCATCGAATCATCAATGTACTCATATGTTGCATTATTTAGGAAATGTATTAATTATGTGTGTTGTTCATCAAATAATGAATTGCTACTTAGCTTAATAATGCCTAGTATCATTGCCAAATAACTATCATAACTGGATCCCTGTGGGAATATCTAAAAGAGATGTGGAGAATACTTAAAATGAAAGCAACAGAATTGAATCCTTGCTTCTGGGTTGAACATGGAGGCGGTATATTATGAGATATGATATAACCTGCATCATATGGAGACATGGTTATACACTTACTGACATAATGGGGCATATGAACCAACTTCAGAGTCTCAGGAAAGAATCCATAATCATCCCTGGCAAAAGATCAATTACCCTTTGGTAACTTTAAGTAGCTATGAAACATCACCAGCTTTAGGTTCCCTGAATCATTTTTTTTACCCGAACTAAATGGGGCCATGACTTCCCAAGTGTAGCCTTGCTGTGAAATAACCAGAGGGTCTGTTCCTCATTCGACCGCCATTGTTTGATAAGCCCAGCATGTTGCATAGCCAAGTAAAGCCAACCTTGGATTAATCAACTCTGACTCTTTATTGGGGGGTACCCCAAAATAGTGTTCTAAAGCACTATTAACATTAGTATTCCCCTATTAACAAATTGGGTCAACATAATAATCCTGAGGTTCAATAGTACTTTATATCAGTGTTACCATTATTAACATTGTTTATATTCACTTAACTATCATTAACATTGGCATCCCCCTAGTAATATTGAATGGTGGGGTTTGGCAGAATCCTAATGTTACCTAGTTATTAATCCATTACTATTACTAGTAGTGGCAAGCCATATTATTCACACTATGACTATAGTTATTTATCTACCAATAAACACTAGATGTTTTTTTTTAATCATCATTATTCACAATGATTTATTAACAATTAATTCTCAATCCCCCCTCATGGAGGTTTCCTGAGTCATGGGTACCCCCAGTTATCATCCATTTTAGATTGGGATGTTCCATTATGTATAAACCATCCAGCTATTGGGGATCCCCCGATTTATGGAAACCCCCATATGGATTATTAACCATCATGAACCATCATGAACCATCATTAGCCATTATTCATCACTATTAATCACTATATATATATATATATTAATCACTATATTAATCACTCTATATATATATATTAATCACTATATTAATCATTATATTAATCACTATATTAATCACTATGTCAATCACTATATTAATCACTATATTAATCACTATATTAATCACTATTTTAATCACTATTTTAATCACTATATTAATCACTATAAATGACCATTTAACCACCATTTTGATTACCAACATTACCCACCTTGATCCCGGCGCCATGGCCAGGACTTCTTAACGGCCATGGACATGCCCTCCGTGATGCAGCTCATGCACGAGGCGGTTAAACCAATGGCTTTTCCACACTGTGGAACCCCAATTTCACCATCGTTTTTTTAAGGGTGAAAACATGTTTTTTTAATGGTGAAACCATAGTGTTTACCAAAATTGTATGTTTTTTGTTGGTTTGAACTTTGCATTGAATGCTAAAACAACATTTGCGGTTCAAACATTGTCACATTAGATTGCCGGAGGTATCGGAGGGGTACATAGTGGTACATGTTTGATACATTGATGTTTCCAGATGTTGAATGATTAAAAACATTAGAAAAAAACAACATTTTTTGGAGAACCAATTTTGTGTGAGATAGGACAAACTTTGTGCGACCTTTTTTTGGTTTCGCAGCGAGAGTCCGATCCTTGATAGAGGGCCAGCCAAATGGCCTGGCCTGGCGCAGGTGCAGATCGATGTGCGACAGGCGGAGGCCTTATTTGATGTCCTTGACTACAACAACTCTGGCACCTTAGACTCCGAGGAGTTTTTAGAGGCGAACCGGAGAGGTCGTGGTCATCCTTTCGACGACGATGGGTACCATAGTAATACCACTCCAGACCCATTGGGGAATCCCAGTGATGATGGTGGGATACTACGATTTGATTGAGCATGGCAGCATGGCACATATGTTTTGGTGGTGGTTCTGCTGGAGTTTTCTTTGCAGAATTGTGAAGAAAACACCTTTCAGATGGAAATATTGGATAGTTTGGACCAACTCTAAGGTTTTTGTTCCCTGCATGGTTCACTGCCTGACTGAGACTGGCGCCTTCTTGTTTGTGTTGAAATGATTTGCTCGAAACGAAAATTGAACTGGCGTAAAGTCTGAACTTGGACAATTTTGGAAATGTACCGCCAAGGCCAATTCATGGCAATTCACACATGTTCCATGAGTAGGTTTATGACCCGCCTTTCCCAGTTCCAAACTGCCTTTGCCACTTCAAAAGGTAAAATTGCCAGACAAACAATCCATTCTCCAAATATTACATGTCGAAAGGAAATCCTGGTTTAGTACTGGAGATGGGATTATATCCCCCACGACTATGGCACTATGGATGAAATCACCACCATGTATAGACCTGCAAAAACGGATGCGACACGAACATGTACCAATTTATAGCACCACATACATATTTATATATATATATATATATTATACCAGCAGTACATATATATATATATATAATTACATATATTTATCCCAAGATTATGACACATGGACCAGATGGATGCATTGGCTACAATCAGATTTCAGATTCGGTACCCTCAAAGATGGCAGATGGCAATTCAAAATCCCAGCAGGGAGCTGTACAGCTGGGGAAGTCATCGAAATAGCAAGCCATGGGCATTTTCCAGCAAGCCATGTGACTCACTACCAGGTTAACCCCACTAACATCATATATAAAAAACACATCTCCCACCCTTAGAAAATCCTATAGTACCCCCAAAAAAGATCGAAGAAATCATGAATTTTATCATGAATTTTATCCATGGGATATCCACTAGTTGTATCCACGAGGTCGGTATCCACTAAGTCCACGTCACGTCGCGCAGGGCATCATGTTGGCCCGCGGCGAAGCGCGCTCCAGGGAGGTCATTGCAGCACAGTGCGACCTGTGGAAGGTGGGATTTTTCACCAGAAAAAACACGGAACTCCTGGAGGCTTCACTCGAAAAAACCATGGGATACACTCTGGTAATGACATTCACAGTTCGCTATTGAACATGACCCAGTCGAAATAGTGGATTTACCCATTGAACATGGTGATTTTCCATAGTTATGTAAACGTTTACCAGTAGTACCCGCACGAGGCGGGGCGGAAGTTGCCTTAAAGATATATATAAGACCTTTCTCATCTATAGAACTTGCATGCGCCGTGCGCCAGCCAAGCCCGTGCGTGCGTGCACTCTGCGAAACTGGTGTCGTGTTTCACATGTCACACACTTGACACTTCACACTTGACAGTCACACTTCACACTCCACACTTCTCACTTCACACTGCACTCTTCCCAATCCACACTTCACACTTCACTGCACGCTTCCCACTCAACACTTCACACTTCACACTCCACACTTCACACTCCACACTTCACACATCACAGTCCACACTTCACACTTCACACTTCACACTTCACACTTCACACTCCACACTTCACACTGCACTCTTCACGCCCCACACTTCACACTGCACTCTTCACACTCCACACTTCATCTCATCTGAGCTCTTCTCACCTTATCCCAGCTCATCTCTTCTCATCTCATCTCTTCTCATATGTCACCTAAGCTTTCATGAATCACTTCCCAGTACTACTACTAAGGAACTTGCATGCGCCGTGCGCCAGCCAGGCCCGTGCGTGCGTGCTTTGTGCGAAGCTGTTGCAGTGTTGCTGTCCAAGAACATGACCTGCGCGCGACCCCGGTAGAATGCAAACACTTTCCTCACACTTCACATTGCACCAAAATTGAGAAAATCTGCTGACAAATCACTTTCGCAGCCTTGATGCAGCCATTCCAATACGATTTACGATCTTCAGCTGCAAAAGACAATAGTATTACGCATGCAGCCGCTGCACCAAGCAACCTTGACGCAGCCACTACAATGCGATCTGCAGAGACTGAGTTGCAAAACACAATAGAACTACGTGCAATGGCGTCGGAAATTGCAGCTCCAAAACCGGATCTCGACGCCAAAGCGACAAAAAGACGATTTTGAAGCACTTTTTAAAAGGAATTTTAAAAGGAAAATTATTAGCGCCAAAATTGAGAAAATCTGCTGACAAATCACTTTCGCAGCCTTGATGCAGCCGTTCCAATACGATTTACGATCTTCAGCTGCAAAAGACAATAGTATTACGCATGCAGCCGCTGCACCAAGCAACCTTGACGCAGCCACTACAATGCGATCTGCAGAGACTGAGTTGCAAAACACAATAGAACTACGCGCAATGGCGTCGGAAATTGCAGCTCCAAAACCGGATCTCGACGCCAAAGCGACAAAAAGACGATTTTGAAGCACTTTTTAAAAGGAATTTTAAAAGGAAAATTATTAGCGCCAAAATTGAGAAAATCTGCTGACAATTCACTTTCGCAGCCTTGATGCAGCCGTTCCAATACGATTTACGATCTTCAGCTGCAAAAGACAATAGTATTACGCATGCAGCCGCAGCACCGAGCAACCTTGACGCAGCCACTACAATGCGTTTCGCAGCATCCCGTAGCAAACCTGCACCTATCTAAGGACGTGGCAACATCCAATGACGACAATGAAGCAGCCATTCCAATGCAATCTGCAACTAGAGATTCAAGAACCGCATGGAACTACGCACACAGACACAACCACTCGTTGCAAAACACATATATAGGAGGAACAATTCGCGCACAAAACGACCGCAGCCGCACCCATCGCACACACGAGGTACCTTTCATCGTCGCCTGCAGCCACTTTACACGGAAAAACACAAGGTTTCGTGCTCCGGCTTCCTCCCCAAAACAGAGCCCTTGCAACATCATGCAGCCATTCCAATGCGATCTGCAACCGGAGATTCCAAAACACCCTATAACTACGCACACACAAGCGCACCCAAAGCAGCTTGAAGCCACCGTTACACTGCGGCAAAAAAAAACGATAAACCGACCGCAGCCGCACCCGCCGCACAGACGAGGTACCTTTCATCGTCGCCTGCAGCCACTTTACACGGAAAAACACAAGGTTTCGTGCTCCGGCTTCCTCCCCAAAACAGAACCCTTGCAACATCATGCAGCCATTCCAATGCGATCTGCAAGCACAGATTCCAAAACACCCTATAACTACGCACACACACCACACCCAAAGCAGCTTGAAGCCACCGTTACACTGCGGCAAAAAAAAAACGACAAACCGACCGCAGCCGCACCCGCCGCACAGACGAGGTACCTTTCATCGTCGCCTGCAGCCACTTTACACGGAAAAACACAAGGTTTCGTGCTCCGGCTTCCTCCCCAAAACATAGCCCATGCAACATCATGCAGCCATTCCAATGGATCTGCAACCACAGATTCCAAAACACCCTATAACTACGCACACACAAGCACACCCAAAGCAGCTTGAAGCCACCGTTACACTGCGGCAAAAAAAAACGATAAACCGACCGCAGCCGCACCCGTCGCACACACGAGGTACCTTTCATCGTCGCCTGCAGCCACTTTACACGGAAAAACACAAGGTTTCGTGCTCCGGCTTCCTCCCCAAAACATAACCCATGCAACATCATGCAGCCATTCCAATGGGCTGCGATCTGCAACCAGATTCCAAAACACCCTATAACTACGCACACACAACCACACCCAAAGCAGCTTGAAGCCACCGTGACACTGCGGCAAAAAAAAACGATAAACCGACCGCAGCCGCACCCGTCGCACACACGAGGTACCTTTCATCGTCGCCTGCAGCCACTTTACACGGAAAAACACAAGGTTTCGTGCTCCGGCTTCCTCCCCAACTCACCACTTCCCTTCCTCACCACTTCCCATCGTCACTTCCCATCGTCACCACCTCCCTTCGTCAGCGCTTCCCTTCCTCCACTTCCCTTCGTCACCACTTCCCTCGTCACCACTTCCCTTCGTCACCACTTCCCTTCGTCACCACTTCCCTTCGTCACCACTTCCCTTCTTCACCACTTCCCTTCGTCACCACTCCCCTTCATCATCACTTCCCTTCGTCACCACTTCCCTTCGTCACCACTCCCCTTCATCATCACTTCCCTTCTTCACCGCTTCCCTTCGTCACCACTTCCCTTCTTCACCACTTCCCTTCCTCACCACTTCCCTTCGTCACCACTCCCCTTCATCATCACTTCCTCAAGGTCAATTTCATAGCTTCTTATTCTTTTGTTATGTGTTGGTACATTATGTATTGTTATATTATGTATTGTTATATGATCTACCACCCTTCCTCAAGGTCAATTTCATTGCTTCTTATTGGTTTGTGATGTATTGGTACATTATGTATTGTTACAGGATCTACCACCCTTCATCATAGTCAATTGCACCAAGTAAAAAGTCATTCGTAACTCGGAAATTGCTTCCCAACTTCCTTTGACCAGAGGGTATCAATGATATCAATACTATGTCATGGGGATATAGCCTATTTTGGCCTTTTTTTGGCCTGGCTATCTGTAGCCTCCGTTGGGATATATCCACTTATCACATCTTATCACTGTACTGGAACTGCAACCCCAAGTATGGTTACCATTTTTTTTTCAGGAACACATGGGGGGAGCCACGGAGCTACAAATTGAGTTGCCCAACTACATGATGAAAAAAATGGAGCTCGTTTTTACTCGTTGATGATTGGCAATTAAGGTATGTCCACTAGAATGTTTCTGAAACATGTATGTATACAATGCGTACAGCACATTAATATACATACACATAATCATATGTATGTATATAGATATAGGTATATCCCTTGATGGGGGGGTGGTTCCTGCTGGGGATTTTGCCAACCAGAGTGATTCAACCAAAGAGTGGAGAGTCTACCAAAAAATGGTTGGGCAAGGGCGGTTTTTTGTCATCAGGAAAGCCTGGAATTTATTGAAGCAAACATAAGAATACCCATGCCATCATTGAAAAGGCTGGAAAACCACCAGACGACAGACCCTCGACTTTGGGGATTCCAAGCTTCAATGAAGGGCAAACCAGAATCAAATATAGAGAATTGAAAAATGATGCAGCAGAACTTTGGTTTCATTTTTTTTTACCTCCGGGAATCAAACATGGCAATGGAAAATGCACTTTGATATACGTAGTATGTTGAATTTTCCATTAAAACCTTAATTATCTTAATTTATAGCAAATTTTCCATTGCCGCGTTTGATTACTGGGTTGTACGCATATTTTGCAACTGGTGGGAACTATTGAAAGGGTTGTTGGAGAATGAGTACTGAAGCTATTTTGGGGTGTGTCAAAGAGTATAGTTGGCAACACGAACCAGAGACCTTTCAGCGAAGATACTCACTATACTGGTTGTCAGTGCTTCAGACTAGTTTGTTGATAAATGCCATAGTTTCGATTTCATAGCCCATAGGATCCATGTATGGTATATATGCTAACATTGGGGGTATATTGATGGGATCCATGGCACACCATATATAGCAGCACCGTAAGGATCCGTCATGGGTAGATGAACACCGACCTTGTGTCTTTGCCCGACCGCATTTTGATCCTGTGAGGATGAGCATGACACCATCAAGACCCTTGAGGAACTCGAAGATGAGATCTGCGAAGCGTTCCTTGGTGTGGCGTGTCACTCAGTGTGTTCGGATATGGGGATCGCTTCAGAAGGGGCTCATGATACAACCAAAACATGGTTGGCAATGGGAAATTTCCCATATGGAGGCTGTAAGGGGCTCATCACTGTATGAGAGTTACCTTGCAGCATGTTGTATTTACGTGACCGATGGATCAAAGGACTATATGACAACGCTCCAACTGATATATGTCGAAACCAGAAAGCGTCGAGTTGGATTGTTTACGGCTGATGGTTGGGTTGTTAACCCGCAACCAATGCATTTGGAACCAAGCTTTTCTTGTTTTTCAGCATGTATAAGCGATGACTAGTCGTCACTTCGACATGTATAATGAGTCGGTGATCCACCATTTTCTTGTTAAGATTTCAACTAGTGGCTACGGTAATCCATACACTTTGGAAGCACCGGGCAGGCGTCCGTGTTGCATGGGTATCATTGGTGAAGACTGCGGTCATCAATCCTCCATTTTTGGTCATGTTCCTCGTGAAACTTTCATCTTCCCCTCATCGAAAAGCCAAAAATCGAATTTTCTGAAGAAGTTACCAGATCCTTCCAGATCCTTCCAGATCCTTCCTGCCTATTTATCATTTGATCACCTGGATCTGGGTTCACCAAGGATTGATGGCCTGAACGGTTCCATCGAGTCTCTGAGACACGACCTCCGTGCGGCCCGAGGAGTTGAGACCCACGAGGATCAGACGTGGCAGTGGCTCTTCCCTGGACCCACCGACTGACGTCGTCACAACGGGTCGTCGCTGCGAAAGGGACGCTGAACGGGACGGTGACGTCGCAACGCTGGCGAAACATGGGGAAGCTGTGGACATTTTGGGAAGCTCTGTGCAAACTTGCAATCGATCTGTTGGTTCGAAACTGAGCAACGCTGGTTGGTAGCTCCAGGGAAGTCCCCGGAATCTTTTCAGATTTGCAAATGAGTTGAATCGACGAGGCGTTTGCAAAGGTACCTAAGATCCTAAGCACGTTCACCGGAGTGGATCATATAGCATCATATAGCAGCAATATGCAGCAATTGAATTCCAGTCAATTGCTATGTTCAAAATGTGAATCACCCACCTCTTTGGGTACTCCTGGTCTGTTTTCTTCAGATTTTCGGCTCCAAAATCCACTGCTTTTCCCATTGATTTCACCGTCCCCAAGCCGCGATATCTGGAGGTGCCGTGACTCGCTGCATCCGAGCTCGGGGATGCAGACCCTGGGTGACTGTCAGGAAAATGGGGAAAATGGGCTATGTATTTACCGATTTACCCCTGAAATCCAACCCATGACGGATCATATGACGGATCCGGCTGGTGCTGGTATATATGCTAACATGACTGGGGTTAATCTTGATGGGATCCATGGCACACCATTTTTTTCGCAGCACCGAAAAAGGATCCGTCATGGGCAATGGGGAGAATAATTTTTGCATCACCATGATTTCATCATGAGGGAAGATCAATTTGGTTCCCTCCACTGGGTTTGGGTGGCACCATTTGATGGTTTTTTCTTGCGGGCATCAGCGCCTGAAAAATATCAAGGATACTCCCAGTACTCTCTGAAGATATCTCTGGTGATCTCATGAAATGGTGGATGCTTGAAGGGTTTAACTGTTATAACTGCTGGATGGATCCCAGATGTTTGGTGCACCCTATAAAAAAAAGAAAACATCATTTTTAATAAGTAAATCATGGTAAACGATCTAGAAATGGGCCATGGCCATGGCTAGTGGATTCAGCGTGAAAAATCCTCCGCACCGAGCCCGGGAGCCGGGTGGCCTCAAGAGACCAAGAAATCGCCCAGCTCTCGCAGCGCAGCTCTGTGTTTTTCGCTTGGTTGGTAGAATTGGTGGCACCCAGCTTGAGCAAATCACTCGCAACCGAGCCGACCTCACTGAAAATGATGATTCGTAAGGGAAACCAGCACGGAATGGCCTTGTTCCGGATGTGAGTTGCACGTAATTTGCCCGGAGGAAAGTTGAGAGTCAAGGGCAGCTAGGGAGAACATCCCCAACACCATTGGGGCAAAGAATCGTTCATGAAGCTACCACCAGATCTTCTAATGGGGTTATATGAATGAACCCATGACTGAGGTTAGTACTTTAATGTCAATCCCAGATTGATGAATCCTGACAAATAATTGTGGGGTTACCCCAAAATAGACATTACTATTAAAACTGGTACTTCCTATGAATAAACTGGGGGGTTGTCAAAATCCTGTGTTGATATTACTGGGATATACTGGGATTGTAAACCCCGCCTTACATATGTATACTTAGTTGATATATATATATATAGGTGATGTGGCCGTACACCTATCTAAAGATCACAGCTGTGTGCCAGCCCGTGTTCAGCCCGGAACTCCCACTCAGGTGGATTTAAAAATCCAGTGGCAGTGCAGGAAGAAATTATTAACTATATTAAGTGTCATTGACACCGGCTAATTCATAATGTCATTTATAATAAGAATATTTGTAAATTATACTATACTTATACTATATAGTGTTTATAGACTAATACTTATAAGATCTTATAAAATGTTTATGTCATTTGTCTTAGGTATAAGAGAGATCTTATGAGACTTGGAGAATGGAGACCCCCCAGATGGCCCACCCTTAAGTCGACTTGGGGTCCTGCAAATTGCCGGACGCCAGTGGGAGCCATTTAAGGCCTCTGGTAACCTGACAATGGCATATTATTCCATTGGTGCAAACATGTAGACGTAGATTGAGTCTCAGATATGTTCAAGAAAAACACATGTATTAATTATATGCAATACATATACATCATAATTTTATAGAGGACCCTGTTGGGGGGATGTACCCCGGCGTTTTATCTCTATAAAATGGGGACCCATGACGTTCCGACACTTAATTCACCATAAGTTTATATTTATATATTCCATTGCCAGATACAGTAAGATATGATGCCAGAGTGCCAGATGGTATCCATTGTTTTTTGAATGCCCATCTTATTTAAGTGAGATGATCCATTCGCAAAGTTCTGGGTGTTGGGTCGTTCATGGGTCGTGAAGAAAACACCAGACATCCATCATGGGACTGCGAAACACCCAGCACAGCCACTGGGCAAAAATGATTTTCATGACACGGCCCGGTCTCCACGGTCGGGACCAAAAAAACTATAAAAAAACTCGGGTCTGCTGAGACCTCCGTTGCGGACGCACTGACCTGGTGTAGAAGTGATCAACTGACGATGACCAATATGATGACACATCTGATTGGTGATGAAACCCTTCATTTGAGGATATTTGAGGTATGGGGTGGCGAAACGCAACAAAAAAGGGAGCTTTGAATCGTTCAAGAATGAAGAACTGTAGTGTTTTAACGAGGTTTCAGCATAATCCCAGGTTGAGCGTTGCTCGGCCAGCTTGACTTAAGGCACTGGTTGACAACGAGGTCCATGTCGAAAAGTTTCATGCAAGGACAGTGCAAAAAGATTCACCAGGGTTGTTGCGCTGGTAGGTGGGGCTGACTAACTAAGAAGAGGTTTGCCAATTCAGCACACTGAGATGAGGGTGAAAGAGGCTGTCATGTAGATTGGGGCCAGGCCGGGCCCAGAACGATCCAGAACGACATAACCGCAGAGGGTTCAAAACCTTGCTTCAAAATGAGGGACCCCACTCTAACCCAGATGGTGCGCTGATCGTTTTCAGTGTAAGACATATATTATAAACGATTATAATATGTTTCAATGCACATATACATTCATATACATACACTATCACCCATGACGGATCCATGGTGCTGCTTTTTCTATGCTAACATTTACCATATATTTACCATCAATATACCCCAGTCATGTTAGCCTATATACCATACATGGATCCTATGGGTCACCGCCAGGCTGAGTTGCCTCAGATGGCCCTGGCGGCTCGGATGTCATGAAGTTCCCTTTATTTCTTGGTGAATCTGAAGTTCATTGAAGATTTATATACCTTGAAAAACAATGAAAAACATGTATCTTGGAAGATTGAATGTTGTTAACTATGATTTTAAATGATTTTAATGAGACCATGCTGTGGCTCAAAGTTCATTCAATATTTATTCACTCCCAAAATGTGGATGGGTACCCTATTATCGCGAAATTTGTATAGCATTTCCTGTTCGTGATAAGTTTGTGACTTTCAGAAGCAGGGGTCCGAGCACTGGAGCACCCTGACGAGATCAGATGTAGGATAAAATTTGCACGAGTTTTCACTTCAGTATATATAATATGTAAATGCACATCCTATATAATATTTAATCAATAATAAAAGTGCACGGTTTGTCACTGGTGTATTTTTGACACATCATGGGACTGTTGCAATTCAGCCGCTTTTTGTGACTTCGCCCTTATCATCTCAGGGTATAATCTCCAATGTGACCTTGTTCGAGGCTGGGGCATGGTGATTGGATTGGGGAAGCATCACTCCCATAGGATCCATGTATGGTATATATGCTAACATTTGGGGTATATCGATGGTAAATGTTACCATATATAGCAGATTATAGCAGCACCATGGATCCTATGGGACTGGATTGTTCCATGGGGTTCCAGACTTCCAGCGATACCAATCTGACGAGAAATCTGACGATCTGTCAGACTCCCAGCAGTGATCCCCGAAATCATTGGGACGTTCAGTAGCAAGACATCCCATATGCTCCATGTATAGATATGTATAGTATATTTACCTACAAAACTGTGCCATAAAAATGGGGTAAATGATGGGATTCATATTCCAGCACCATGGTTCGCATATGGGTGATGAATTTATCTCCGATCCATTGGGATGCACAGTACCGTGATGCCGTGAGCATCCCAGATCGGCACGGAGGTATGCAGCGGACTGTCAACACCACCGTGGGGGCAGCAAACATTTGGGGAACGTAAAGCGGGCCAAGAAAAACCATATAAAAAGATGAAGCTTCATAAAAGCGAAACACATAGTCGAGTTAAGCATGGCTTCTTCACGCCTATTCATGATCTCCAAGACATAAACTTGGTGCCCCTCAGCCAATACTGTTCGATAATGTTCGATACGTTTTCTAGATCAGACAAAACTTGGGTCGCATGTTCAATCTGTGGGCAAGTGGAAGAGCAATGGCACAAAACTCAAATTATATATATATATATATATCTCAAGATGTTTGAACTTATTTCCCATGGACGTGGACGCACTTTGTTTGCTAATATATTTTTGAATGTGCCCAAAGGGCAGCAATCCAACTCTGCCTTTGAAATCTTTGAACTGCTGGAGATTTACATGATTTTAGTGGGAAAATGCTGATGAATCATGCGGGGTACCAGGGCACCCTCTGGTAAACTAACATAACTATGGAAAATCACAATTTTTAATGGGAAAATCCACTATAAATAGCAATTTTCAATAGCTATGTTAAATTACCAGAAGGTACCTTTTCATTTTTCCATGGCCACGTCTGCTTTTTGTCTCAGGTCGTGCCCATACCAAGCACCTCTGGACTCCGTCTTCTGCGCAGGCCAGCTGTCATCATGTGAGTGTGGTCAAGATTTGACGCCCTTTGACCAAGAGATAATCATTGACCATCGATCATTGGTGCTTCTGAACTTTGTAAGCTCAACATTTCAGAGATGTCCACTCCTGTAGCAGAGCGCGGAATAGTGAAGCAGCCAGTCACTCCTTATGTGACTGAAGCTTCGCTACGACGCTTCACATCAAGTGGGATAAATGGGTTCCTCAAAATCCTTCGCTGAGGCATTCGGGTATAATTATTCGTGTGTTTTCCATCAGTTAGTTGGATGATGTTCGCAGAAAAGAACCGATGCCTTTCTCTGAGTCCCGGGATTTCCGAGCTAGCCATGTTTGATTACTATACCCATAGTTTACATGGTGCTGGTATATATATATATGCTAACATTTGGGGTATATTGATGGGATCCATGTTACCATATATAGCAGCACCATGGATCCTATGGGATAGAAAGTATCCCGCATTTTTGGACAAAGCCATATTAATTGTGAGTTTGACCCACAGATGTCTTCTCAGACTGGTGCCACCAGCCTCCTGCCACCCATGGCTTTAGACTTCGACCCTGTAGAGACGTGCAAGATCTGGACGCAGTGACAGGAGTTGTCAGAGGTACCATCTGGTTATGACTAACAGTTTGCCATGGAAAGATCCACCATTTTTAAGAGGTAAACCATCTATTTCTATGGGCCATCTATACCATGGCTATGTTAAATAACCAGAGGGTATCTACCAAGCTTTGGTGTTTCCTTTCTCCAAATTAAAACCCAACTGCAACGTAGGAAAGTGATGTAGATCATTGTAGATCCATGATGATCCATGTTCTTTGCAGCTTATTCCCCATGATCTTTGTAAAGTCTTGTCCCATAGCTCTATCGGTGAAGCCTCGGTTAACCGACCACAACGTATCACATCTCCAGCCGCGGCGCCGCGGGTTCAGCATGGGATGGAGACCCAAAGCAGGACTCCGGATCGAGGTCATTTTGGGACTCCCATTAATGCGAACCATGGTGCTGGTATATTTACCTCCAAAACTGGGTGATTTTTGGGGCAAATGTTGGGATTCATATTCCAGCACCATGGTTCGCATTAATGGGACTGGGTGATTTGACAAAGCCCTGCGGTGTCAATCATTGACCCTGGGAGAGGTTTCACTAACGGGAAGTCATCGTTGAGGAAGTTGAGGATGTTCAAACCCATAGGATCCATGGTGCTGGTATATATGCTAACATTTGGGGTATATTGATGGGATCCATGTTACCATATATAGCAGCACCATGGATCCTATGGGAAATTACAAAGCATGTTGGGTTTCCGGTACACATTTGGTGACCTTGATGGTAGTCGCGCAGTGAAATCTTATTAATTAAATCTTACTAGTTAATCCCAAAAAATGAGGACGCCACTGGAATATTTTATGGTTGAGAAAGACAGTTGCCCTTACACTTGCCATTGGTGGTAAATCTTCCGTGGGGATGACTTTGTTTCCCAGTGGATGTGTAAAGGATTGTAAAAAATGTCGCTTTCCATTGCCATCGTGTAATCCAAGCCCTTTATTAAAGGGCTCCATTGCTCCATCAACAAATATCCAGGTTTCTGGGGAGTCATTGTTAAGGAGAAGGAACTACAGATGAACATCGACTTGGGATGACCATAGGCAAAGCTAGGCAAAGCACTGTTTTTTTTGGTACAGGTCGCAAACCCATAGGCCTTCACGGCCTTCAGCACCTTTCTGAATACATGGCTTGTTTGGGATCTCCGAGGGTGATTTCTACGCGGCTTCTCCAACGCTGCAGGGCAATCTCTTGACCTCCAGCAGCAAAGCTTGGCGGGGCACCATCTTGGAGACTGCAATTCCACCGGGACCCAGCGAAGGCGAGGGACGAACAAAAGAGGAAGGGATTAAACACACATAAACAAACAAAGCAGTTGTTTTTTCTTGGTAAATCCCTCTATTTTATGATTAAACCAAATTTGAACAAAAAGAGGTTTCAACCAACCGAAAATTGAGAGTTTTTTCCACATGAAATAGAGGGATTTACCAAGAATCGTGATCTACTCATGAAACCTTTGGGAAAATCCGGAAAAAACCGGGATTGGCACACACGTTTTACAAATTTCGGGTGGATGATGAAATGTCCAGGAAAAACTGCTTGGTTTGTGGGTCAGCGAATTGTCGCAAACATTTCTGAAAGAAGGTACCCGTACCCCCTTTAATTCCATGGCTAATCATCAGTTTTAGCTGCGGGATATTTTACCTATATCAACCTGGCCATATCCTAGGGAGAGATCTCCCAGTCTTGTACAAATCCATATTAATATCATATTGCTGGTTATATGATCCCATTGTCTCCTCGACATATCCACAGTACATCTCCACGAAATGGTTGGTTCCATCCCCATTTTGCTCGTTGAATCATGACAATTCGAAAATATCCCAGTTGAATCACTGATGGTGGTTAATAAAACCAGTTTTACGATCCTAATTATTTCCATCCCACCAGCAAGGGTTCGTTGTATCGTTATATAATCCTCATTGCAGCTCCATGCTATCCCCATCATATCCCCATAAAATGCTTGCGTTCATCATCCCCATCCCCATTTCTGATGCTTGAATCTTCATCTTCTCGGTGATATCCCCAATTCTTGGGTCCGAAAATCATGGAAAAAACAAGTTGACGGGAAATGTTGACAAGAAACCCCTATATTTGATGGTAAACATATTGGTGTCCTGTAGATGTTCCAACCAATCGAAGAAAAACATGGTCCAAACAACTTCCAAGGCTCCTTCACCGTCACCATCTCCGCTGGCTTAGTCCGGCTGGGTGTCTGCGCCGCAGACTCGGACAGCGATCAGCTGGGCACCGATCTGCAAGGATTTGGCTATGGAGGCACTGGCAAGATGCCTAGCAGCAAAATTTTGGGCAGGATTTACTGATTTGTTCTTGAGCTGAAAATGGTACGTGGATGGACCTATTTCAAAGTATATCACGAGAATTCACCTGGAATTGGGGTAATTATCCTATTTTTAGAGTTGTTTTGTTCCCTTTCGATTTTGAGTCTTTGACATATGAACTCGAGGAGCACGGGATTTTCATCTTGCCCATGATAACTCTTGGAGTTTCATGATCCATGGTGATTTTCAGGGGGGTATTGTGATGATCACTGAGGATAGTCAATGATAGTCCTCCCAACCTTGATTGATTCACCTCAGCAAGGTCTAGGGCATGGCGGACAATGTTTGATGCCTTCAATTGGGTATGGGTAACCGCCTGGGACCCTGGTTTGAACATCCAAATTCCTGGGTTTCTGGATCATCCCATGCCGAATTCCGAAGGTCGAGGTCTTTATTGACCTGTGATTTTCTGGGAATTCCAGAGCTTCACAACCGGCCTGAATTCACCACGAATCATTGACGCTTTCTTAGGAAATCCCATGGAGGAGTCTTCGAGGATTATGGCGAAACTCAGATTTTTTAAGGGTGGGTTGGGTGACGTTGGGGCCATGTGAAGCCTGTTGGTTGGGCCTCATCTGTAGCCTGGGTCCAACATCCCCGAATTTTGACAGGCCACGTTTGCTGCGGAGATTGGGGAGACCTAAAGACGGAGGAATCATCTATCATCATCTATCAGTTGGTCATAATGATGAATGATAACTACTAGTCATTGGTATTATTATTATTGAGAATTAATAATATCTCATTATCAAGAATAATTAACTAATCTGATCATATTTCTCACTGCTTTGGTCTAAGGATTTACGTCAATATGGGATCATCATCCCTAGTCCGATGGGACATCGTTTCTGACATAGCATTTCAAAGTAAATACAGTATATAATGCACATATAAATATATTATATATATAATTATAATATATATATATATAATATTATAATATGGAATATATTTCCTGACATTCTATTTGATATTCTTTCTGGCACAGACTCTGACATTCTATCTCATGACATTCTTTCTGGCATTCTATCTGCATTGCATCTATTGTGACGTACTTTCTGGCATGTTTTTTTTCTGACATTTTTTCTGGCATTTATATAATCTGGAATTCTATCTGACATTCTTTCTGGCATCTATTCTGGCATTCTTTTCAGGCATTCATTCTGGCAGTCTATCTGGCCACGCCCGTACCCGAACCCCATATCACCAGCTCTGGATGCAGTGGGCCCCGCCTGGACCCAAACACATGCCAGAGAGAAGTTCATGTCCACCGTCCCGACGAGCTGGCAGAGGTCATGACAAGCAGCAGTAGAAGGCGAAGAAAGTAAAGGAAGAAGGTGAAGGAAGGAGGGAGGAAGGGAGGAAGGGAGTTGCACCTTGGTTAAAACGTGTTAAGATCGAGATACCCTCACCTGGCAGGTGGGGAAACAAGTTTGAACACGATTTGAGCAGTGTTCAAAACCCCTGTTGGTTGATCATTATATGTCCGTTATGCTATCCAACATATTGGGGATTGTCCTAATCCATGAAGGGGAATCCCGTTACCAAGCAGTTTTTTCAGGGACAACACAGGGGTTTTTCAGGGACGCCTTTCTTCAGGAAGCCTTCGGTGCTGGTGATACCCTCCAGTGCCGCGTTTCTCGCAGCAGATCGGGGGACCTGATGGTGAGCTACCAGAAGAATGGCGTGGAACTGGGAAAGGCCTTTGAAATGCAGGCATCGCCGATGGGAGCTCAAGGGTTTGTCTGTAAAACAGGTGAACATTGGGACCATCCAATAGTGAACCATTATTTTCATGATCTGGTTGGTGGTTTGGAACATAGTTCATGTTCCATTTCATATATGGGATGTCATCCTTCCCATTGACTAAGTCATATTTTTCAAGATGGTTAGTGCACCACCAACCACATGATTTTCACGATGATGTTTTTTCTTTCCAAACTTTTATGACGTGGTGGGAGTTCAGCAACTGCCCAGGGATGTTAAGGTTGATGGTTTCACGTGGGTTTGCCTCAAAAACAGAAATCTGCTACTGGTACCGAGAAATGGTAATTGTTCACAGGGAAAATTGGGTTTTTGAGCCCCTGGGACTTGGGGGTTTCAACTTTTGCGGCGACGACGACGACGACGACGACCACAACCACAAGAACAAGAACAACAACAACAACAACAACAACAACACCAACAGGAGTCATTGCAACATACAGTAATTATACGGTAAAACCCCTCAGTTTGCCCGCGCCGACATCGACGACGTGTCCGAACATCAAAAAAACACTGTGTTTTGTGAGACAAAATGCACATGTCCATGATCATGGCTTTCATCTTGCAACGCACAGCTTGAGTAATGCTACAGCAACATCGTCATCATCATCATCATCATCATCAGCATCATCACCATCATCATCATCATCATCATCAAACCCTTATGGAAGATCTTCAATGAATGTAGAAGTTTAACGGGGTGGGAAAACTAAACCCTTATTGAAGATCTTCAATGAATGTAGAAGTTTAACAGGGGTGGGAGATTTAAACCCTCATTGAAGATCTTCAATGAATGTAGAAGTTTAACGGGGGTGGGAGAACTAAACCCTTATTGAAGATCTTCAATGAATGTAGCAGTTTAACGGGGGTTGCAGAATTAAACCCTTATTGAAGATCTTCAATGAATGTAGAAGTTTAACGGGGGTGGGAGAATTAAACCCTTATTGAAGATCTTCAATGAATGTAGCAGTTTAACGGGGGTGGGCGATTACACCCTTATTGAAGATCTTCAATGAATGCAAAGTTTAACGGGGGTGGGAATTTATTTATATTCCTACTACCTTTGTTGATCTTCCCAATTGAATGTAAAGTTTAACCTGGGTGGGAATTTATTTATATTCCTAATACCCTTGTTGATCTTCCCAACTGAATGTAAAGTTTAACGGGGGTCGGAATTTATATTCCTTCAAAATCCCTAAGAAGTTGTGTGGGCGAACTGGGGGGTTTGCGCGTAATTATACTATAAATATACACATACGTTTAATATACATATATATATATTATTGATATACATATACACATATATATATATATAGCCCGTGATCTAGGTGTTTAAACATATATATATATATAAATAAACATATTTTGCATGTCCCATCCTTGGAGGATGACCCCCCGTTGCGTCATGTTGGATGGGTTGAAACATCAACCAGTGGTGCATCGGCTGATTTCAATGAATACTTACAGGAAACCCAAGGAATAACATGTAGGGGTTTCCATAAATGGGGTACCCCAAAATGGATGGTTTATAATTAATGGAAAATCTATATAAATGGATGATTTGGGGGTACCCCTGTTTTTGGAAACCTCCATGTAGGTGGCTCCTGTGCTTTGTCCTTCCAACCAAAACATTGAAAAAATGTTGATGGTGATTGAAGACAAAAGGTGATATTTTCTGGAGTAAATGACTGGGTTCATGATGTGCGCACGGTGATAGAATGTGATAGATACCTTTCCCAGGACGTCGCCAGAGGGTTTAGCATTGGCTTCATTGGTCTGTTGGGCCCGTTGGTCGTGGGGATTCCAGGTTTCCTGTACCCTTCAACATCACACCCGCCGGCCACCCGTCAGGCAGATCAGCTGGCCGTGAAGAACCTGGAGCTCTACCCAGCCCTGTGTGGTAAGGCCTTCACGGTACACTGGATGCCCTTCGAGGCGCCCTTGGCTGAGCCCGTGGAGTGGCCCTGCCAGCTGCGCTCCTACGCAATGCACGCGCGGAAGTTCGGGCAGGTTGGTGGCCAGGGCAAGAGTCAGGTGGTGGCAACTTGGCTTGAATGAGATAGGAACTATTCATGTGTATATATATATTATCATATACTGTATATATATATATATAAAATAAGATAAGATAGATAGATAGATGGATAGATGGATAGATGGACAGATGGACAGATGGACAGATGGACAGATGGACAGATGGACAGATGGACAGATGGACAGATGGACAGATGGATAGATGGGCAGATGGACAGATGGACAGATGGACAGATGGACAGATGGACAGATGGACAGATGGACAGATGGACAGATGGACAGATGGACAGATGGACAGATGGACAGATGGACAGATAGACAGATAGACAGATAAATAGATAGATAGACAGATTAGATTAGATTAGATTAGAATAGAATAGATTAGACTAGAATAGAATAGATTAGATTAGAATAGAATAGATAGATAGATATATCAGATAGGGTTATATGGATAGATACTAGGATGTTATCAGTAGATTGTGTAATGTTGCTGCCTGGTTTTGGCCCTACCTAGTTGATTTACAATGCGGTAATTTCTCTTCTGGGATTGAACTGTTTCATGTGTGTTTGCCATTTTCGTTTGGATCTTCAAATATTAGATGAATAAGGCACAATCTATCGTCTAGTAGAACCCACATCCATTCCAGTTCTTGAACTCCTTTGCGTCCCAGAATTGATGAGAACATTTACAGGAAACTTCCGAATTTTAGGTGTTTGGTAGGATTTCCCTTCAATCCATTGAGACCCTTCCAGGTGCCTGACAACGACGCCCTGCGCGACTTCTTCGGCGATCGCAGGGCCCCCCTTTGCAAAGGCGACTCCGTGGAACCCGTGGAACAGTGGCTCCGTGGCAGCGCCCAGGGCCGAGCCGACTTGCGGGGCTCCAAGGTCCTACAGGGGAAGTGTTGTTTTAAAAGCGTTTTGTGGGGAGATATAAACTTCAGCTATGAATGTGGCGTAGTATTTTTGGGATTTTATGAAGATCACATAGATCACAGTTGCGTGGATTCATGGGATTTTTTGGGATTTGACCCCTCCGAAATGGTGATTTGTTTGGATCTGTAGCTGGAATAGCTGGACACAGCTCATCATGATTCCAATGATGGTTGGCTTTGGGAAAATCATGAAATACGGTGGTTTTCACAGTGAGATGATATTCTGGTAAAGTCAATCTGGTGGATATCAAGAGTTGGTTTTTGCGCCGATTATTCCACGTGGATCATCATCCGAGTAAACATGATTTGCTACGAAAAAGTGTTATAACTCAGAGATGAGTTGGCTGCCCCTTTTTAACCATGTCCAAATCGGAATTTCTTTGTTTCTATTTATTTGCAGATGGGCCTGGGTTGTAGGGCACTCCCAAATTCAGTAACTTATAATTGGTTTCACGGTAGTAAATTTGCAAAAACCGAAGGGGTCGATGTACCCCATTTGCAGACAACCACATATAGAACTATACATATTTTATGTGTATATATATATACACTTATTATGTATATATATATATATATTATATATGTATATTATTATATTATATTATATGTATATATATATTATATATTTTAATAAATATTTTATTATATAGCCTATTTTATCCCCATGAAAAATCCCTGGGTGAACGCAGGAAGTGCGCCGTGTGCAACGCAGCCACACCCTGCCCTCGGGGGTCACGCTGACGATCATCGATTCACAACCGGCAAGCAAGGTGGGGATGGGGCTGAAACATCCCATGGTTTTCCCATGGGTTTTCCCATGGTTTTCCCATGGTTTTCAATTTTCGGAACTGGCAAACACGGATATCCTTATCACTACATATCAGCTACAGCTACTGGTATCTAGAACATCTACATGTATCATCATCTATCATCATTTGTCATCATCTGTCATCAACTATCATCATCCACCATTGGCCATCTACCAGCATCTATCAGCATCTATCATCATCTATCATCATATAGCTATGGAAAACGGCCCACCCATAGATGATTTTACCTTTCTTTAGAGGTGATGTCCCATAGCTATGTCAAATATGACCTAGAAAGGTAAAATTCCATAGATGTCATATGTCATTCCATAGTGAGGTCATCTTTCCATAGCTATGTCAAATTGATGACCTCACTGTTTTCCGTCACTGGAATGATGGACTGGGATTCGGGAATCCCCGGCCATGGCCGCAGGTGTCAGCTATGTTCAGCTTAGTGAATCGTATTAGAATTCAGCCATATATTATGATGTAATATAATATATATATATATATATTACATATTATATATATATATATATTCATTTATATATCTTATAATATGTACTATACATTTTATATTATAATATATATATATATATATTGCATATTATATTTATATACACATCATATATTATATATACCCTAATATACCCCAACCTTCCAGTTAGCTCCGAGAGAGGTAAGCTGCTCGTCCCGTGTCCCAGGCCGGTGCCGATCGCTCCTACGCGCGCAACGTGGCCCTTTGGGAGGCCTTGCCACGGGGCCATGCCGAGGTCAAGCACAACGAGACCACGGCACCTCGGCCATGTGGATTAGAAGAACTCAATGTTTGGAACTAACCCATATCAATGGGAATTTCAGGATCCTAAAATGGAGGTACTGTACCATATAAGGCCATATTTTGTGGGGATATCCCCTTACATAGGCCTTATATAGGCCTTATATGGTAGGTACCTCCAATTTAGGATCCTGGAATCTCCATTGCCATAGGATCCATGGTGCTGGAATATGAATCCCAACAGACTTGCCCCATAAATACATGACCCAGTTTTGTAGGTTTTTATATACCAGCACCGGACCGGATCCTATGGATTAGTTCCAAACATCCATTACTTTATATCGATTGAACTCATTTTAGCATCATTAGTTCCTATATTTGTTCAATTTATGTATATATATATATATTACTAATGATATTTTGATATTATGATATTTATAGGAAGTAATAAAATACTGACATATGATAGCAATCACCATAATATCAACTAATATGGGAACCATTTCACTACGCTGTTAAATACTTATAATAAGTAACCATACTGCAGCAACCATTATAGTATTCATATTACCCATTGGGATCATACTGACCAATAGGGGAATCCTGATTGGGATAATCACAGCACAAATTACACGGATTATACCAAAAAAATGGTAATTTCAGTAATGATTCTTGCAATTATACTACCCAATACTGGGGAAGATCACAACAACCAATAGGGGAATCTCGTTCTCAACCAGCACCAATATTGGAGCCTTTGGGGATGATTTTACCAGGAACAGTTGGTGCTTCATGCTGCAAGAAACAATGCTGAAATATTCCTAGCTGTCTTTGGGTTAAAGATGCCTAAGCATAGAGACTCACTTATCGAAACCCTCTGCCCAATTTTGAGCCATTTTGACCCATAGGTACATGGCACTTGGGGTGTAAGATGGTGTAAGACAACCCAAACAAATGGTGCCAGTGAAGTGATCTATCAGCGATCTATCAGCGGGGTGGATTTTCTATGTGCCGTCTTCAATTTTGACCCATCCTATAGATCTCCCAGGCTTTCAGCATGTTTCAGCCAGGCTTCACCATCAATCCTGATCATCCCATGACATTGTCCACAATGAAATCATGAAATCCCATTTTTTGGGTGGTGAAATCAGTGAAATCCCAATTTTTTATGGTAGAAATCCCCAAGTTGTTTGAGGTTTGCGAACTGAGTGGCCTCCGGAAGTTCGGTAGCGCAGAAGAGAAGTTCGGACCCTTGGCACGGCAGGGCCATGGCGCGCGCTTGTGCGCCCTGCAGACCTTGCCAGGTGACTGGGAGGGAGCCATGGCATGAAGGGGAGGCGCAGTTTTGGGCAGACATTTCTGATCAAAATAGGTTGGAAACCGTCTGATGTTTTGCCGAGATTTGTCCAAATGGATGCTTGTTGGAGGCTAGGGAGATTGGAAGTTGAAGTCAATATTTGATCATCGTTCATGGTATGTAGTTCCCCTCACCAACCAATAATACATGTCTACCCAACTGCTGTATCCCCGCAACTGCAGTGGACAACCCACTTGATGAGTGGCTCAACCACACACCACGGCCCAGATTCCTCCAAGCTTTAATGTCATTGGAAACTGCACATGGGTTGTCTTAAAATAAGGTACCATAAATTGATCAATCATCATCATTCATTATCCCTATTAAAATCTATGAAGTTGGCCTAAACTGGGGGTATACCCTATTTTCAAACCCACATGTTGATGATTTTGAGTCGCTAACCATTGGGAAAGCCAACCTGCTCCAGCCATTGTCGTCCCGTTAGAGGTGCCATGTCGGACAGCGAGCTGAGCGAGCTGAAGTTGGTCTTCATGACCAAAGAGACGCTTTTTGTTGTGGTGTGTTTTTTTTTCCCGGCCATCATGGGGCCTGGGGATACAATCATTAAGAACCATGGAGGATTGAAACTATGTGGTTACATGTATATATAGTATTATATCAGTTATATATATATATATAATATCTATATTATATATAATAATATATATGATAATATATATCTATATATGTAAATTATAGTACACTATATTGTATCATATTATATTATATCAAATTATGTTATATTATAGTATATCATAGCATATCATATCATATTATATCATATCATATCATATCATATCATATCTTATCATATATATAATATGTTGTTTTGTATTGTATTGTATTATATTGTAGTATTATGTATTATATTGTCTTATTTTGTATTATATTGTATTATATCATATCATATTCTATTATAGTATATTATATTATATTATGTTTGCATATATGTTTGTATATTGTACATTAGATTATATATATTTTAATATTATATATAATTATATATATATATATATTATGTTATATATACATTATATATAATGTATAATATAATGTGTACTATAAATACATATTATAGATTTAAGAATGAATACATCTGCATATAATATCTTGCAGGCCATGACAATCAAGAAACACAGGAAATCAACCAGCCGGACTTCAGGAATTTCATCCAACTATACATGGAGGTTGATCAATGGGAAAATGATATCGAAGTATTGCTGGGGACTTTTCCAGCCATATTTGAGTAGTAAAGTGCAGAAAATATGGGTATGTCTGAAAATGGGGTATACCCCCAATTATAGCCATTTAGTAGGGATAATGATCATTAACCATTGGGTGTAGGGGTACACTATTTTCAGACAAACCCATATGATCTCAAGAGTATTGCACTTTAAACTTTCAATCCGAAGTCCATCAGCTGAAGCCCACCCAGAAATCGAGTTAACACTGAGGAACGGTGAGATGTGCAAGGTGAGCTTCTTCCAGCTCACTTCGCCCACTTCGCCCACTTCGCCCACTTCGCCCACTTCGCCCACTTCGCCCTACCTTGCACTGGGCTCCAAAAATGTGACCCTGGCCGTCACGCTCCGCAGCAAAGTTGAGGCTCTGGCAGATCTGGAAGTCTACGAAGAGGAACGCTATGACTTTGCCAAAGAGATGGCCCTGGTCTTCCTGGAACATTGGAGGATGTTAACTGTAGGTGATAACATTTGGGAACTATGAGTGGGCAGTAAAACAGTGTATATTCCAATGTTTGGCAATGCCTTTTCATTGAAAAAAAACTTCATCAAAGCAATTCCCGTTACTTTTTCAATGTATTTAATTATTTAATCAATGTTTTGCCCTCCTCACCAAACGTAAAAACGTTGGTTTTTCACGTGATTTTACCACAGTGTTGTCTGACATGTTTTTTCATACTTTCCCATGTTTCTCCCACATTTTTGTCCCAAAGATGACGGGTTTCCGGAAGATGAGGGGCCATTTCTCTCATCCAAGGACCAGTTCTTCCGGCTCAGCAGCGACCAGCGCAACTCCATGGTGACCTTCGTGGCGGCTCAGAAGGCCACGCTTTGCGGAGTCCATCAGCCCGGAGCATCAACACATCCAGAGCTACCGGGATGACCAGGGGATGATCCAGGTGTGGAATGGTGTGGATGGAGATGGTGTTTTTTTTTCCGTTTTCCAAATCATCTGTCTTGGGATTGTGCTGGGACTTGGGGGCCATGTTGAGAAACACCTACAATAGATCTTGATTTTTGGAGATGGTTTGTGGAAAAATCTGTTGGATGTGCAATTTGAGTTTTTTCTTGGCCTGGAAAACCCTACCAGAGTAGTGTGTTTTCAACTGGGGGCAATGCGCACCCAAGCTTAGGCCATTCAGAGGTGAACCATGGCCACTCAGAAGTTGGTTGTTGAGGATAAGACTGTGGATCCCTGGGTCTTGATTTCGGCCTCTTCTGTGCAACATCTGGGGCCAACCTTGATGAACCATCAGATTTTGGGGTACCGGGTGCTTTCTGACAAATCTTTCGTTTGCGTCCAGGCTATGGTGTTCCTATGTTTTCCCAACGGAATGTGACCAGGCGTTTTCTTGTTGTCAGGCCCACATCCGCTTTTTCTCGTTGACCACTCCGCAACTCGTCGGGTCAAGGGGGTCCATTTTGGGTACGTGTGGAAAAAAACGATCCGGTCATAAAAAACATTGCTGGCTGGGAAATGCCCTGAAAATTCAGTGTGTGTGTTTTTCCTTTATGGGGAAGTTACCCTCTGGTAAACATACAAAAAACTTTTGAAAATGGCCATTTATAGTGGATTTTCCCATGAAACATGGTGATTTTCCATAGCTATGTTAGTTTATGGGGAAATTATCTATGACATTCTATGACTGACTGGATTTTCCAGCAGGCCATGTTTGACATGTTTGCTGACCAGAGGGTAATTTTGGCCCGTACCCCCTGTGAATATGTGTGAATCAAATGTGTGGTGTGCCAAAGATAGCTTTACGATGTTTGGATGCTTCAAACATGCTGTCTTGTTGGACAAGACATGTCTAAACATACTGCAATTTCCAAGTCACCCTAGTGGACCTTGCCGAAATGGCGGACATCAGAAAAGTCTTCATATTGAAGATGTTTATTAGTGTATCAGTATTGTGATAATGTTTCCTCTTCTTCTTCTTCTTCATATTGGTGCATGTTGTTGTCATACGCATTATGACATCAACATATATGAATTCGTATGATATCAACAATGACATATTCATATATATATACACATAATTCTTATATATATATATATGTAACTCTTTGCACTCAAGGCCATGTTGGGTTTGGGAGTTAGCACTTTCTCCCCAGGGCAGCCTTCTTCCCTCATGGCCTAACGCTGGTGGATCCCATGGAGGCTGCGGGTCTCATCCAATGGATGACTGTTGTGTTTTGTGTTTTGTTTTTTTTTTTTAACACGCAACAACATTCAGGCTAGGGATATCTAGGTATCAAGTTCTTATCATTGTTTTTGTTGTTTAGATTGATTGTTATATGTTGTTTTGTTTGGTCATTTTTTTAGATCATGTTCCATAGATTATATATGTATACAATAGATACTAATTCCCTTTATTACATATTACTATTAGTTGTCAGAAGCAAAGACATTGTTTTAATGTTATGTACAATTATCATTATCATCATCATCATCATCATCATCATCATCATCATTATTGTCATTATTGTGTCGGTATTACCGTTGTTATTGTCATTCCCCAGATATGTTGATATCCACTTATATCCCCATTATTACTCCCATTTATATGGCCTTAACATTCACAGCAATAATATTAACTTGGATATAGATCGTATACTTAAATTTATTCCTATTTCCAGCTATAAGTCTCAAACATTCAAGAAAATAGTATTGCTGATTTATCAAGAAATATCCCTTGATAAACAGTATACACTTCACTTAAATTGGAATATCGACATTTATGAATATTCCCAATTGTGCAATATACCATTAATGTTGATTTACATTAAAGATCCATTCATATCCACATTGATATCAGTTTTTGCTTCCTTTGCTACTGCTGGGGATTGTCGTATTAGTAATGTTTAGTATCATGATACTTCTTAGATGCTCGGTAGGATGCTTCTACTGCTGACAATTATATTCGTAGTAAATTCTTAGTATCGTCATCATTGTCATTGTACAGGGTGTCCCCCCCAGTTACATGTTTTTTTTGATCCCTACTAACAAGTCTCTTTTTTTATCATAAAGCCGACAGTTCTTGGTGTTATTTGCGCCAACTCAGCTAGCTAGAATGATAGCTATCAAAAGTATAATTTTTAGATATAGATATATCCAACCCATAAAGCCACACATGTGAAATTGTGCTTAATAGATATTTATATATATATATATGATATATATATAGTTTTATTCTAGTTATGTTAGTCTTATAGTTACCATTCATGATCTACAATAGTTTTCCAAATATAGTTAATCTTACTGATCCCTATAGTTATAATCGTATGTACAATCCTATTCAAGTTATTGTTTCAGAATTCTATCGTATTTATGAATGTCGGGGGACCTCTTCACAGGGGTGGCAAAAAGAAAGAATGGTCTGGATGCCCACCTTCCCGCAGTGAATCCTGTCCACCTACATGGTATTGCCCTTGTGGTGTGGAAATGAGGAAACACAACAGGAACATCGTATTTGTAATGATTATTAGGAACAAATTGGATAGTTACACATATTGTGCTTGTAAATTCATAACTTATCTAGTGTACTTACACTATATATGCGGTCGTGCCCCCCAGTTACAAGTTGGTTTACAATGACCAGTAGTGCGATATCTCTACGTTAAACTATAGAATTCAGCTTCTATACGTATCCAAGTATAGTTAATTATACAAAACCCATTAAGTGTATATCTAGCTAGTTATATATATATGTATACAAGGTGGTAAACTCAATAATGAACTTATCATTTTGGGCAGGTTTCGACGGGCCATAAAATGGTAATACTAGGGATAGTTTATTTTGCCATTCCCACATTACTTACTTTATAGTTGCATCGGCTGTCTTTGCAATATCTTTACAGTATACAGAGTTGATCGTATACATACCATAGGTGTATTCATTTAATTTACATTATATATCTATCAATATACATACCCTTATATAGTACTTGACTTATAGTTATATACACAGACATTTAATTTATTGTATATTTGTTATATACTTCGTGGCTCATCTCACTAAGTAGATTACAACCCTAGTTACAAGTGAGACAACTAGGTTCCATCCACTTTTTCTTCCCTAGGGTTATATCGTTTAAGTAAGGTTATATACATTACTGGTTGGTGGTTTGGAACTTTTTTTTATTTTTCCCAATAGTTGGGATGATGATCCAATCTGACTAATATGTTTCAGAGGGGTTGAAACCACCAATTAGAGTATTATAACCTACTTACTAAGTCGCATGTGAAAGTTATAACATGCTATAACCTAAATCGAATGAGCCACCAACTAAACATCTCAACAGATTATCAGCTAATCACCATTATAAATAAAAAACCATTATATAACCATCAGCCACCATTAATCAACCATTAATCAACCATTAATCAACCCTTAAATATCCATTTAATACATGACTATTTACCAACCATTAATCTGAACCATTAATCCGAACCATTAATCTGAACCATTAATCTTAACCATTAATCTTAACCATCAATCTTAACCATTAATCTTAACCATTAATCTTAACCATTCATCTTAATCATTAATCTTAACCGTTAATCTCAACCATTAATCATAACCATTAATCTTAACCATTAATCTTAACCATCAATCTTAACCATTAATCTTAACCATTAATCTTAACCATCCATCTTAACCACTAATCTTAACCATTAATCTTAACCATTAACCTCAACCATTAATCTTAACCATTAATCTTAATCATTAGTTTTAATCATTAATATTAATACCATTATATAATCTTAACCGTCAATCTTAACCGTTAATTTTAACCATTAGTCTTAATCATTAATCTTAACCATTAATATTAACCGTTAATCTTAACCATTAATATTAACCATTAATCTTAACCATTAATCCTAACCATTTGTCTTAATCATTAATCTTAACCATTAATATTAACCGTTAATCTTAACCGTTAATCTTAACCATTAATCTTAACCGTTAATATTAACCATTAATATTAACCATTAATCTTAACCATTAATCTTAACCATTAGTCTTAATCACTAATCTTAACCATTAATATTAACCGTTAATCTTAACCGTTAATCTTAACCGTTAATCTTAACCGTTAATATTAACCATTAATCTTAACCATCAATCTTAACCATTAATCTTAACCATTAATCTTAACCGTTAATCTTAACCATTAATCTGAACCGTTAATCTTAACCATTAATCTTAACCGATAATCTTGACCATGAATCTTGATCATTAATCTTAACCATTAATCTTAACCATTAATCTTAACCATTACTCTTAATCATTAATCTTAACCGTTAATCTTAACCATTAATCTTAACCATTAATCTTAACCGTTAATCTTAACCATTAATCTGAACCGTTAATCTTAACCATTAATCTTAACCGTTAATCTTAACCATTAATATTAACCATTAGTCTTAACCATCAACCTTAACCATTAATCTTAACCATTAATCTTAACCGTTAATCTTAACCATTAATATTAACCATGAATCTTAACCATTAATCTTAACCATGAATCTTAGTCATTTATCTTAACCATTAATCTTAACCGTTAATCTTAACCATTAATCTTAACCATTAACCATCATTTTTTACCATGAATCTTGGCTAATTAACCATCCTATACCATGATTACCATGATTATGAAAAACCGTTAATGGCTAATCCTTTAATCTCTTAATCAACCAACCTATACCATGGCTAATTAACCATTAATCGTGGCTATGAAAAATGGTTCAACCATCCTATAATATATTTTGCCATAGTATAATTAATTAATAATTAACCAATATTTAACCAGTAGTTATCCATTAACGAACCATTAATCTTAGCCATTAGTCTTAACCATTGATCATGACTGATCAACCATCCTATACCAGAGTTTAATTAACTAATAATTAACCATTAACCATAATATACCATGGTATAATTAACCATTCATTAACCATCCTATAACCATATGTCATTTTTGTGTTAATCTTATCTAACATATATTATATGTGTCATTTTAATGGCTATATTAACCACATCTATATAGCCTATAACTACATCTATGGTAATCAACCATTCATCATCCATTATTTTTAATCAGCCAGTATATAACCATCAATCATCCTATTAATTAATTGATCATTTATTAACTATCCATAATATAATTTAATAATTACCACAGTATGGTTATCCTTTTGTTTAAACATTTTTTCAAATGTATAGTATATATATAGTATAATTTCATAATTACCATTTTATAGCTATACAATATATATAAATATAAATATATCCTATAATTAACCATCCTATAGCTATTACCATAGCTAATTATCCATAGTTTAATGGTTCAACTATGGCCTTTTGATAATCCTACTTAATTGCTAATTAAACTAATAGCTTATAGCTCTATAGTTGATAATTAAACTAATTTCCATAACTATTATCCTAATTATCTCAAAACCTGGTACCCCTGGTGAACATCAAAATAGTTGGTAAATGGATGTTCATTCCCCCTAAAAATGGATATTAATAGGTATTGATCCATAGCCATATAAGTATATATGTTTAATGGTTCAACCATCTCAAATGGTTCTCCTTTTTTCATGGCCAGGCTGCCCGGCTCTTCGGCTCCTGGGGCCTTGCCTCCGTGGAGGCCATTGAGGACGTCCTGGCCACGGACCGGGCCGCGGTGCCGAGGCAAAAAGATGCGGCGATTTGTTGCCCAACAAAGCGGGATTTTGCTGGGAAAAGCCATGGGAAAATTGGGAAACTCATGGATTTTGGGTGGATTTTGATGGGAAAAACCATGAACATCAGCTGTTTTCATGGGAAAATCATGGGAAAATTGGGAAATTCATCGATTAATTGATGCATCTTGATGCATTTTGATGTTCGATCAATCAAAAATAAATGTTATTTTGATGGAAAAAAACATCTATTAAATAGATGGGAAAATAGCAGTACATGGGATTTAGTTAACTTGCAAACAATGGTTTTGAACCATCAAACATATATATATATACAATTGGCAAATATGTTGACTTGATGATTAGAGGTGGCTATACCATTCTTTATGGAATCCCCGAACATGGGGGATTTGCCAACAGGTTTTTGAATCAATTTTCCATTGAACCGCCGGCAGTTGACAAAAAAAGGGTCCAAACTGCCAACCAGGAACAGTCACCAACTGAGATTCCTGGACTTGTCAATCAACACTGGTTGGTGGTTTGGAACATTTTTTATTTTCCCATATATTGGGAATGTCATCATCCCAACTGACTTTCATATTTTTCAGAGGGGTTGAAACCCACCAACCAGAACATCTCTTGCTTGGGGGATGTTCAGATTGCAATTTTCATCTTGAGCACTTGACCGGATTGCTGGGTCAGGACTCTTCAATTCTCAGATATTTCACTGTCCAAGTAAGATTAATACAATGGTTTCCCAAATCTCCTCTGAAACTCCAAAGTTTCAGGTTTCGATTCCTCAAACCTCAACACAACCGTGGGAATCTGTAAAAAAATGCCCTGGTGAACAAGTCAAGTTCTTCAAAACCCAGACCTCGTACCAAGGTGGAACGCATGGAGCAGAAGCACTTGTTGCTGCCAAACCGTGAAGGCTTCAGTTTGGATAATCAGTGGTAGGCATGGGCAGAAACAAAACTTGACAACATTTGAGAAGACTCAGAAGTCATTTTTGACAGAAAAGTGAGACCAACAGACTTGGAAAGTTTGTGCATTTTCCAAGCCACGATGTGTCAACATTCCCGTTTTTGGTCTAGTTACGACCAACCGGGTAAATTTTACTTAGGAATCATTGGAATCAGTGGACCATGTTTTTTCTTTTTTGTTCTTTTGTGCCGTGGGGAACATTTGAAAGTGATCGGTATCTAATGGTCTGGCATGTTAACTTGCTAACCTGTTAACCCATACCCAGATGGAGGTTTCCTTAAATAGGGCTACTGTACCCCCAAATCATCAATTTTTATAGTATTTTCTACTATAAACCATCCATTTTGGGGGTACCACCATTTATGAAAACCCACAGATAACAGCTCAGAAGTTTTGGGCCAGGGGCAGTTGTCTATGTGGTGCTCCGCCAGAAAGAGACAACACGCACTGCGCTAGTCTACAAGCGGCTTGACGTTGGATTTTTTTACGGCTCTTCTATGGTTGTTGGATGTTGTTGGTTACACTTTAATCCAACATTTACAAAGTGTTGTTGGTTACCCAAATTGATCCAACATTCCAACATTTACAATGTGCCCTCCGGCCATTTTTGTTCATCTGCGACATGCCTGAACATGTTCCATGTGTAGATGATTCACTCATCAAGATGGGTGACTTTCCGTTGCCATGTTAGATAGCCCTCGGGTCGTTGCTGTTTTTTTGGGGAGCAAAGAAGTTATGAACGTCGAAGGTCTACCAGGATGACTGACACATTCCATCTATGAGCTTCAGCTCAAAAGAGATGGATGTGTGTGAACATGTGGTATATTCCCAAATAATTAGCCATTTCAACAGGGAATATGATGAAACATCAGATTTTTTGAGGAACAGTATCCTATTTTAAGACAAACCCATGAATCTATACATATATCTACTTTATGTTCTTTCATCTTGACAATATCCCTGAGATACCTGAGATTCCCGTTTTTTGAGGCCTGGGATCTGGCTCTGTTTTGGTGCCAGCAGCCAGGTGGAAGAACGCCTGGTACGTGACGGTCCGGGCCCTGCGAGAGAAGTTTTGCAAGCGGGTCTCCGAGGCGAGGGATCCATGGGACCATGGGATATGGATAAGCTGCAAGGTGGTGCCCCCCATGTAGAGGTTGGTTTATAACGTTTATAAACACCTTTAACTATAAATTATCTGGGGTGCACTTAACATAGTCAAATAGTCATCACCTATTTTCAGCAATTTCTTCTTCTTGATCTGATATTTATTCTTCTTGATCTGATAAATCGACCTTCCTCACATCCCGGTTGGGGGGAGGGCTGGGGGTGGGGGGGGTGGGGGTAGGGGATTTGCAGGGGCTGGCTACCCTTGCGGCATCTGTGGCTGCATCTCCAGCCCAGGCCTCAATCGCCGGTGTTGTGGAAAATGGGTGAACCAATCAATTACTAATAAGGGGAATGACAATGATAAACCATTTGTTTCATTCGTGGGTTAAGCATTGATCAAAAAAGGAGGTGAAATATGTTCGCGCATTGATTGATTGATACATATTGATTTGTATATTTCTGGAGTTTTTAGCATCAAACCCATCATGTTATTCCTAGGAAACATCAAATTTGATTAGCAGGATTGACATGATTTCATTGAACCAATGATGATGTTGATGGAAAGATGGAACAATTCCCGCAAATTAATTGAAAACATTTTTTCGAAAAACAACAGTTGGCATTTCGCGAAGGGATGCCATGGCAAAATTGTCGGGAGTGAGGTGGGCCGAATCTTGACCTTATTAAGTTTTTTTTTGGGACCCACTAATTTTGGAAAACCATCAACCTACTAATTTGTAATATAGGGCCCCCTAGAAATTCCATTGACTCAATGGTTTGAACTTATTTGATAATTGTGTTTTTCCCCACCTGCCAGGTGAGGGTTGTTAGATTTTATCAGAGCTGTTCTCCTCATCCTCCTCCTCCTCCTCCTCTGCTTCTTCCTCCTCCTCCAGTTTCTCCTCGACCATGTTTGCATCAACTTCCACGTCCACTTCCGCCTTGCCAACTTGTCGCCAATCTCTTCGCCAACTTCCGCGCGCAGTGGGCACTGCTGGACCTCAACTGCTGGCTTCGATCTGAGTGGGCACCGCTGGACCTCAACCTGGGACCCTGCGAGCTCAGTGGGCACCGCTGGACCTCAATGGCCAGATAGAATGCCAGAAGATATGCCAGATAGAACGCCAGAGAGAATGTCAGATAGAATGCCAGAAGATATGCCAGATAAAATGCCAGAAGATATGCCAGATAGAATGCCAGAAGATATGCCAGACATATAGAATGCCAGAAGGTATGCCAGATAGAATGTCAGATAGAATGCCAGAAGGTATGCCAGATAAAGTGCCAGAATGTTTGCAAGATAGAATGCCAGAAGATTTGCCAGATAGAATGTCAGATAGAATGCCAGAAGGTATGCCAGATAAAGTGCCAGAAGATATGCCAGATATATAGAATGCCAGAAGGTATGCCAGATAGAATGTCAGATAGAATGCCAGAAGGTATGCCAGATAAAAGGCCAGAAGATATGCCAGATAGAATGCCAGAAGATATGCCAGATATATAGAATGCCAGAAGGTATGCCAGATAGAATGTCAGATAGAATGCCAGAAGGTATGCCAGATAAAGTGCCAGAATGTTTGCAAGATAGAATGCCAGAAGATTTGCCAGATAGAATGCCAGATAGGATGTCAGAAGATATGCCAGAAGATATGCCATATGGAGTGCCAGAAGATATGCCCGGTAGGATGCCAGAACATATGCCAGATAGAATGCCAGAAGGTATGCCAGATAAAGTGCCAGAATGTTTGCAAGATAGAATGCCAGAAGACTTGCCAGATAGAATGCCAGATAGGATGTCAGAAGATATGCCAGAAGATATGCCAGATAGAATGCCAGATCGAATGCCAGATATGTCAGATAGAATGCCAGAAGATTTGCCAGTAAGAAAACGTATAAATGTCATGGTGGGGATGACTCGAAGTAAAGTAATTTGATAGCAATTCCATAGACTCAATGGTTTGAACTTTATGGTTTTGGTTTACCAATTAAGGCCTGGCAATCACATGTCTGGAAGAACTTCGAATCGTGGCAGTCAGAGTTCGAATGGCTAGAGGTGACGCAAACTGGCTTGGGATGTACCTTATGTTCTCGGGCTGGAATCCAGAAGTCATCAGCATGGTCTAAATTCAAGGCCTGCAGGAAAGTTACTTGCCCTTCTTAGTCTTCTAATACTTGGGAACGATTTGGCATGATTTCCTATTTTGGGAGGCTGTGTTTAAGATACTAAAAATCCATAATGACATGAATGTGTCTATATTAAAATGTAGTCTACATGGGGCCAATCCATTCCTTCTATGTTTTGTACCTACATTTGGTCATCTAAGGCTACGGTCAGACACCAGGCTTTGGTGCAGCATTCGGAAACTGCCCAGCACCAACTTGCTGTTTCCAAGTTGAGTGGCAGCAGTGTCCCTCTGATAGATGGAAAACGTGTTACTCAGTTTAAATTTGGCTATATCTATTTACTTATGTTTCTGAACCAAATTGTTGGTCAATTTACAACCCTGTCATCTCATTAACTATCTCCCTGTCTGACAACCATTGAGGTTCCAGGCACTGATTTGTTCAAGCAAGTGCTGGACAGAATTTCGAAGGGAAATCACTCTCCGGAAGATGGCCGGTTCGCCATTTGGAATGAGAATGGGTAATATATTTTAGATTATTATTGTTGTTTTTATTCCCACCACCTATGGGTTTGGCTTTGTGGTCCCAGTTGCCATTCCAGTCCGAAGGGATTGGTGCCATCCAAGGGCCGGACCAAGCTCAAGAAGTTGAAGGCGTGTCTTGGTGAGGCAGCACGTCGCCTCACAATCCATTGGCTGCATCTTGGCATCATTTGTTTGGGTGATAAAATCAGATTAATTTAAAATTATCTAATATCATCATATTAATGGTTTATAGTTGTTATAAACTTAGTGAGCTGGTTGAGCGTGGCAAATTGGGGAACACGGTGCCCATGTTCATTTGTTGTGTTGTGATGGCCTAAGGGCTGACTGCGCTTCCATATCCCTAGTCCAAGACGGGAGTGCTGGTTGGCTTTCTATTCGCTTCGGAGGGTGCTATGCTGACATGACATCCAGAAGGGGAATGCTTGGTGTTTATCATTATGCTGCTCTTCGTCAATCTCATGCACTCATGTTGAAGCGTGCAACGGTGAGAACCATCAAGGAGTTATGTGATCCCCAGTGCAACATGCCAGGCAGCAAAGTCAAACGGAGCCTCGGGGGATTCAATTGGAATTGTTTCTTTCCCATATGATTTGTTTTTCATCCGTAAATATTCAAAGGGCTTCTGGTGGCAGTTTAGTGTTACAGTGTTTCTGGTATGTTTTCATGGCATGATCTGAGGCCGGCATATCCAAAGTTTGAGGCTATCATCAGAGAAAAGACTGAATCTTTGGGGGCGGATGCAGCTGCTGATGAGCAGCTTTGTTTGGTTTCTTGTTTCAATGCCATGGCTTCTTTTTCTGAAGCCTTTTTGAAACAATATGAATTGGGTTTATTTTGCTCAAATGCTTTCCACGGTTGATCCCCTCCACCACTCAGGGTGCATTGTCTATGGATCTTGATGGTGAAGATTCCTATTTCCCCAATGTTCGCTTGAAGATCAAAGACCTGGCACATGCCATCAGAAGGCAGATCCAATTGTTTTGCTGTTTTGTGAAACGAGTGTTTTCATTCTTGGTTTTCTGGTTGATGTATGAAATTCAAAGTCTTGTTGACCTAGCCCATGAATCCCAGCAGCAGGGTGGCGCAGCGCCCATCAATGAAGGATGACTACATCAAAGAAACGCATCTTAGACTACAACAAGTTTTCCCGGGCTCAGTGGGCTACTACAAGGGTTGTATAAGTGAGGAGACTTGGCAGGGCTATCAACATTCCTTGAAAGACAAGGTGATTTCACCCTAAAACCTAGGCAGATTATTGATTATATGTATATCTAAGTTTTAAGGGGAAGGAAGTAGTGGGAAATGCATTGTTCTTACTCAGTGCTCTTTGGCCCAGGTTAGATCTCTTTGTCAACAGCAAGTGGAGCCCTGCCCAGCTGATCCAAAACAGCCACCTTTTCAAGGCAAGAACATCCGTATGGGTCAGGGTGAGGGTTTCTCTCTGGCTGGTATTTGTTGTTCAACATGATGGTGGAGGTGAGGCGTTTGATGCTGCTCCAATGAACTAAAGGTTTGTTGGGTCGGTTTGAAGCTGACAATTCATTCTGAAAGTTTGGGTTCAAGTGCCACGGTGAGCAGACAAAAGGGCTGATTTTCCAGAACTGCATCAACAGAATGCAGCGTTCCCTGCTTCGCGATCTGAAAGAGAAGGGAAAGTTTGACAAGCTTCGGACCCCAGAGAAGGAGCAACCAATCCTTTCTCAAGAGCTCCAGACTCCTAGCCCGAGCCCTGGCAAGATCTTGTTTCGGGATCTGATGAAGAAGGGTTTGCCACCCCGAAGGGTGCCAAGTCAAAGGATCCATCGGCTTGGAAGGAAGAAGGCATTTCTCCTTTGCGGAGCTTCCTCTTTCCGGATCGTAAGGGTGCCATTGGGGACCCGTCCATCAAGGACTTGTGGGAAGAAGAGCCTCTGTTTGGCAAGAGTGAGAAGGTGGTTTTTGATGAGAGCCAGGGATTTGGAGTTAGCATGGGCTTTGATGAGAGCCAGGGATTTGGAGATGACAGCCAGGGATTTCCAGAAGAGCCGCTTGGAACTGGCAAGCTTCCTTTTAAAAGGAAGCAGAGTTTCCTTTCGGATTCCGATGGCGCACCCATCAAGGACCCAGAACACACGAGGATGGGTTGAGCTGAGCGGGCCTGCGCCACTTTCAATTTAGAAGTTGAATTTGCACATCTTATTTAGGTGTGATTTTGATACTGCCCCTTTGCAGCTCTAGAAAGATGACAGCAGCGCTGGTGGAAAATGAGCTGGGTGTGATGCCGTTTTGTAGGTATGACTTCCAATGATGCCCTCCTTCTTTAGTTAGATTGAATTTAGTTTCCACTGCTGGTAGTGATAAATCAATCCATATAATACTTGTCCAAAACTTTGGTCCTTGCCACATCTGCTCTGGGCAGGAACGGTTTGCAGCCAAAGTGAAGTCGCTGACTGGTTGGAAGTGTCGCAGCATGAGTGCAGCCAAGCACAGGTGGGAATGGGTCTTGTGCAGGCTGGTGCCCCATAGTTAGCTAAATTGGTTTAAGATACCTAGTAAAATTAATAAGATTATTTTATGATATCAAAATTGTATGAAAATTAACCCACTTATAGCTGGGGGTGGTTTGAACTACATTGCAATTTTCCTCGCTTCAACCAGTCTCGAATTGAATCAAACAAATAGCTTATTGGCTTATTGGTTTACACCTTTTCTTCTGTTACTCCATTGCCTGCCAGGTTTGAAAGCCTTCGTGGCCCTCTCTCACGAGTGGTATTGCACCTCCATGCGGTGTTGTTGGTCATGGTGTCTTGTCTTTTATGGTCTGAACTAGAAAGAACACAATTATACATAATCTAATTTTATAACATATATTAATATTTATTATAATATAAATTGTATATTATTTATATAATATAATATAAGAATAATATTCATTATTTATTTATATTATAATATAATACATTATATTATTTTAATAACTTAACAAATTATATATAATATATAATAATAATATAACTTACTTTATGTATGTATATATATAATAATAATATAATGGTTATTAACCTATATATATAATTATTATATATGTGTATATTATATATTAGATACATATATAAATAAATAAATATAAATATATTATATATATATATATTACAGATCAGGTGGAAGAACAGTGTTGGCAGATTATAAGTATTCAAAACGAAATCACCATTTGAAATAATGCCAGCCTCCTAGCTTTGGAAATAGCCATTCGGTGGTTTCCTTTTTGTAGGGGTACAACTAATCACCCATGTGATAATATAGTTATCGAAATCTATGGTTTAGTAACCCCATTTTCGGAAGCATCCATTTGTCGAACTAAGGAAGAGATAGCGATGGAACGACGGCTCAAGGCCCCTTGGTTCTGCAAAGAAAAACTGACAGATTGTTCCTAACATGTCATCCTAGTCCTTATCACCCCCTCCTTGGTGTGTGCATCCCAATACCCTTAGTAGTTGGCGTATCCATCTCAATGCCCCACAATCATAAAAAGGTTTTGATTTTAAATGGATAACATCACTTGAAACACCGGCCACTCAATCTAAGGTTGAAGGTCACCATGCCCAACGATTCCTGGAGAAGGTCACTTTGGAACACATACTGACCCTTGGCAATTCCATCAACTACTATAGCCAGAAAATAATATTCATGGGTTTCTGGTTTTCATCTTTATTTCAGTTAAGTGGATAATTGGCGTATGTTAAAATAATATGCTGCACTTTGCCTTCCCCATCATAGCCTTGGACTAGGACTTTGGCATGCCTTGCTGATGGAACTGATGAACACCTTGGCTTACTTCGTATCGCTGATGATGAAGCCTTTGATCTCATACAACTTCAGAATGGGTTATCCCGGTTACTTGTCTTTATACTAAAAAACATGGCAAACCACACTCCCAGCGGTTCATCCAGGGGCCCCTTCACTGAGCAGGTTCTTGGTCACGCTGGAGTATCTCTTCTGCAAGGGTGAGGTGTGGCAACTGGATGGATCATATGCTGCGATGACGCTGTGACTTGGATGTTTTGGCCCATGTCCGATTAGGAGGGGTGCGTAATGACATTTTATTCTTCCTGAAAAACAATCGAACATGAGAGTGTCATCATTGGTCAAACAATAAAAGCTTGAGGTGGGGTAGCAGGGACAAATTATTCAGTCAATTTTCAACCTCATGATAGGCTTGAGGTTGCCATGAGAATTTTACTACCTGCCCCAAAACATTTTGTGGCCCCTAAGGCGAAGGTTGCAAGAACAACCTTTGACGATGCACATCAAAGTTTCTGGCGGCAGTACCATCTTGAAGGTTCTTGGTGGTAAATCCCTGGGTAATGAGATTCTGAACAAGGTATCAGGGCGGTTTCTAGGTTTCAATTAGTCATTGTTCTTTTTTGATGCAATGATGATGGGCACCAGTTTTCAAAGAATTGTTGCGGAACATCCCCGAAATCAAGTTGGCATTTCCCATCTGATTGAATTGAGATTCAGTAGTTAACCAATGGTTCTGCAACTATGTAGCAAGGATGGCAAACTGGGTGAAATTGATCAAGTTCGGTGTCAAAGCAGAGATACCTCACTATGAGATGCTGTCAACCATGTCTAGCTTCCTGGGCAAACACCCCTCGGACTACACGGTGCGGAGGTTGGCTGAATTCTTCAACTTCAATCCCGACCCTTGTTACTTTGAAATCATTCCCTTTGTATTGTTTTCATACCCAAATGTGAATTTGGTATGTTTTATATTTTCCCAGGACTAAACTTGCAACTGATGTTGTTGCCCATATTCATATCCCTGGTCACCATGCACCTTCGCTTCCAAGGATGAGCTTGTCTTAGAGGTTGGCCGTGTGCGCCCGGTGGCAAGCGCCTTGGAAAAGAGAGACAAGCTGACTCCCCTGCAGGCTTGGGCAGAGGCAGCCACTTGCTTTGGTTAGCTGTCAACGGAATTGTGACTACATAGACTTCAGTCATATTTATGCTTTATCAATGTCCATTTCCTGGGAGTAAATTTAAGGGTATGATTCATTCAATGACTACTAATAATTTAATGGTATGATTTGGTATGGTTGTTCTTCCTCTGACAGCCGGATATCCAAGGTGAAACGTGAACAAAAACATCGGGAGGTCCCACACTTGAAGTACATCCTCATCAGATGTTTTGCATGGGGTTTCAGCACTTCAGGGGTAGAACGGAGTTTTGCTGCTGGGAACTGGCTTCGTTCTCGCCGAGAAATTACTCAGGGTGGGGCAAATGATGAGCTGAGGGCTTTACACTACCCTGTAGAGTACCGAGATGAGCTACTTGGCCTTTATGGTTTGATCATAATTTTACATTGAAGTTCCCTCCGGTTGAAAATCTACCCAGAACAAACCTTCCCATATAATAGAGGAAAACATGAACACTATTTCTTCCTTACAGTCAGTAATGAGGCTCATCCTGATGTCCCAAAGGATTTGGGCAGAAGCCTATGGCTCTGAACGGAAAGACTCTTGCATCTATTGGTGCTATTTTTTTGGGGGGGGTTAATCTAACCACAACGACTTAGTAAATAGATGTCATATGATTTATTCCCCATGTCTATGTTTGTTCTTTATCTGATATAATTGATTCTGGCAGTATTTAAATATCAAATTTTGATAATTATATAATTAAAATAAATACAAAGTAGCCCCAGGTTGTCCCAAACCTGGGTCTGCCACACTCCATGCTGAGTCCACGAAGCGCCTGACCATGCGGCGCAAACAGAAAAACATGGGCAGCAAGGGCCGTTGGGTGAGCGCCAGCCATTGGCTGCATCACCGTCGGCAAGCTGTCCAATCAGCTGTCTCTGGTGAAAAGATTGGGGAGCGGGTGTCATCCAGAAAGGTTGCCATATCAAGGATGGCAAAAAGAATGTGGGGTGAAAAACATGAGAACGAAAAGCGATTCAATTTGAAGAAGGAAACTGAACGGCGTATTTTGATTCTTAATTTGGAAGTTTTGCTATTGGAATCAACCTCCCCAACTGGTTGTCAAGTTAATTCTGCATTACCTTTTGTTGCCTTGGATCAGGTCCTTTCTTTGGCAAATAAATTAATGGGGCTTGACTTGAAACCAATAAGTCTTTACCCTTGCCAAGCCGAAAGCTGAGGTATTGGAGCATTTCGACAGGGCTTGATCTTTAAGGGGAAGAAACGGTTGGCAAGACAAGCTGTGGCTGCGGATGAAGCCGAGAAGAAGAAACGGAAATTGTATTTCAAATCACTCCAACTACGCGACTTGCCCCAAAAAACCTGAGGATTTCCCTGAAATGGTGGTACCCCAAAACCATGGGTTTCAATACTGATTGAAATTAATTTGATGGATTATTTTATTTTAATGGTCCAATGACTGATTTTGGGAAACCCCCACTCTTTTAGGAAACCACTATAGCTGTTTTCAATTTTTCGTTTGTTTCAACAACATCTTGGCATTCCAAGGTGATGAAGCGGTGGAAGGCCAAGAGCATGTGGGAGATGGGTTTTCATATCACACCAAGAAAAAATCCACATATGAAACCCTATCGACCCATCAGCTGCATGGGGGCCTTCCATCTCCAAAGGTCACTCAGTCGCCTAGGTGTCGTTAGGGCCATCGTTACCATATTCCCAAAAGACCTTTCACAGTATTATTATGTGGTCCCTGGATATGTAAGGATTAATCTAATAGTTGACTGACTGGGATTCTGTAAGTTGATTGGTTGAAACTTTGGCTCCCAATCCATAGTGAAGGTATCTTGGATAATAATCGGAAACATTTTAAGCGCTCACAATCTAACCCTGGCAGCCAGGTCCCCGAGGAGCACTACCTACGTTCGAAAACATGGTGGTTTTAAATCCTGTTGGTGACAAACTGCGGGATGTTGTCAAGAAGAGAGGATCAAAATTGGTCACTTCCATGTACTTTGGCATTGTTTGGTTGGGAGGAACATGCAATGACAACCTTGAGAGACAATTCTATAGATCAATGAACCGTGGGATGTAATATGGTACCCCCAGGTTAAATCCATAAAGAACTTTGATACTGATGATGATCCAGAAAGCCCCAAATCAGTCTACTTTACATTGAGTTCTACTGGCTATTATGTATTTAAAAAACATGTTTCATCCCATTTTTTGTCCAAGTATATTATATCGCCAAGCAATGATTATCCCATTAAATACTATCACTTATTATGTTCATGCCACCCATTTCATTTCCAATTTTAAGAACATTGGAGTTTTAAGTCGTTGATATATACAAAATTTAATACTTCAATTTAAGATGGTGCAATGTCAATCCTAGTTTTAAATGGGTTGCCATTGCTTCATTGCCCAAGGTCCAAGGTGACCGCCGTTCTACAAAAAGATGCGCTGAAGCCAAACATGACTGCTTCCTTTTTTGCTTTTCTCAAAGGAGTGTATCTTAGCTGAAATCGATGCATTCTGGAATCCCAAATATCTTGGATGTGGACCTGCATGTATCAAAGAATGTCATGGGATGATTAAGGCAAGCTTGTAGTAACAAAATATTTTGCACTGATTCTGATGGTCCCACACATCCTGAGCCAAGGTATGTGGCATCGCACAAGTACTTCCAAACCAAAGGAAAACGTGGTCTTCTCATTCCATACAAGCAGCTCCACTACATTTGAATAGGTGGGTATGTTGTTTTAACATGTTTTAACCAATGTCAGAACTATGCAAACCGGGCTGATGGACAAGGGCACCATACCTGGAGATGCTGATCTTCTTTCAATCGAAGTTCCACTCATTCAAAGAGTTCATGATCAGGGACTCGCTTTCCCAGCGCCCTTGATCTTGTTTGGTAGGGAATGACCTCATCCCCCATGGGCTCTTCCGCTAAGGGGTTGCCACCCTTCCGATACCATGGTATGCGCTGTGCTGCTGCCCCCGTTGTTTGAGCTGGGCATGATTGTGACAGCCGCCATATTCATCCACTTGTTGGATGATCATCATTCTGCCGTGCTGGTTCAGATTCACATGGGAGACTATTGGTTTTAGGTAGTGTTCCAAAAAAAAATCTCAGTTTGATTAATGGGACAATGCCAATGCCTGCCTAAGTACAAAGAGTCCAATCCTTACAAGTAGCCCAATCCATTTACTGAGGTTGTCAAAAGAATTACTTGTTGGAAGCCCGACTCCTTCATCCTGGAGAATCTCAAAACGCTGAATAGCAAGCGAAACAGAAGGTTTTTTCGATCTTTACTTTCGAAGTTGCTTGGTGGTGAATGTTGGTGGGTTGTGGTTACCACACCATGTGCACCTGGAAAATTGAATGCCTAGGCTCAAGAGCAATGGGTACTACAATGTTTCTTGGAAGGTAGGGTCACCTCGTACTGTCTTTTTGTGGTTGCATCCCAATTCTATTTTTTTTAATTTAGTAACCACTGAATTACCCATCCTGCATTGCTTGGGCAGGTGCTTGACTCTCGTCAGATAGGAGGCCTCCCGCAACGTCGGCAGCGTCTTTGGATCATCGGCGTGAGGAAGGATGTTGGTACCTTGGGATCAAAAAAAATGCGTGGACTTTTAAAGGGAGACCTGTGTTTAATGAGGGGTGTGAGCTGTATTCTACCTGAGTAGTAAAGTATGTTATCAAAACAGACTAATATAATTTATACATTATTATATGGGTATGGGTCAAAATTGAGTACCCCAATAGTTGGATGGTGAATACTAAAAATAGACTAAAATCTGTGGTCCCCCAGGTCTTACATTTTGACTCATACCCATATATTGTATAAATATATATATTATATACAATAGAAATAGGGAAATGTGTCATACCGATGGCTGGCTTAGAAATTAGCATCCCAGTGTCAGGGGTAAACCATTTCATCACATTGGGCAATGATATTTATTTTTTGGTCTGGTTAGATTTTTTGATACCAAGGAATTCATAAGTCCATGGGTTCAACACTAGTGACCTCAAACATGTTCGCTGGAGGCAAGTTCAAATGGCCTAAGCCGCTTCGTGGATGGCGGGACATCAAGCTATCAAACTTTTTGGGAAGGCGAGCTTCCCAAAGCATTGAAATCAAGATACAATTTCTCATCAACTTAAATTAGGGTCCCAGCTTCCATTTGGACAGGAAAAACTTGGATTATGAGTTCCCGACATCAAGAAGCGGCAAGAAGCGTTTGGTGGCTGGTATTGAAACATTGGTTCAAGATGGTCATTCTTTGGATGACACGTGGCCCCCTGGCTTTTCAATGGATCTGGTTCCAGACCAATTACCTGCAGGGTTAAAATTTTGACATAGCTGTATAAGATCACCATACAAATTACTAGGTAACCTGTGGCATGGGGAATGTATGTAAATACATGGGCGGCAAATACCATTTTTTTTTTGGGGTGGCTTTTAATGATGTGAAATGACCCTGGGGTTGAAATGGTGGGTTAACATTGTCATCATAACAATAATGTAGTTTAAATGTACATCTTTTTTCAATTTTTATTCGGTGGGAATGAGTTTGCCACATTATTGTTATGACGGTAATCGTCCCCCTATGTCCCTTGGGCCAGCCCCAGGGTCATTGATACTGGTGCTAGTGAACAGTTTTCTGGCCATCCCGCTCATGAACTGTGACTTGCCAATACTTTGCAGATTTTATTTTAAGGGTGCTCAAACAAAGATCAGGGCACTTGCATACATAGTTTTATGATGTTTTAGTTTTTAATTTCATTTTAGGCCCTATTTGGCCCGACTCCTCTTATGAGGTGCCCATGCCTTACTCGAACGCGTGGTGGATGCCCATCATTTTGGATCACCAGTCACAAGCGATTCTTGAATCTACGGGACCGGGGTTCAAGAGTTTTGGTGGTTCAAGAGTTTTTGAAAACCATCAATTCCCTACTAATTTGTAACGCAGGGCCCCCTAGAAATTCCATTGACTCAATGGTTTGAACTTATTTGATAACTGTGTTTTTCCCCACCTGCCAGGTGAGGGTTGTTAGATTTTATCAGAGCTGTTCTCCTTGCGCAGTGGGCACTGCTGGACCTCAACTGCTGGCTTCGATCTGGGTGGGCACGGCTGGACCTCAACCGCAAGGTTCTGAGCGCAGTGGGCACCGCTGGACCTCAACCTGGGATCTTCCGAGCTCAGTGGGCACCGCTGGACCTTAACGGCCAGATAGAATGCCAGGCGATATGCCAGATAGAATGCCAGAAGATATGCCAGATAGAATGCCAGAAGGTATGCCAGATAGAATGTCAGATAGAATGCCAGAAGGTATGCCAGATAAAGTGCCAGAATGTTTGCCAGATAAAACGCCAGAAGATTTGCCAGATAGGATGTCAGAAGATATGCCAGAAGATATGCCAGATAGAGTGCCAGAACATATGCCAGGTAGGATGCCAGAACATTGGCCAGACAGAATGCCAGAAGATATGTCTGCCAGAAGATATGCCAGAAGATATGCCAGATAGAATGCCAGATAGAATGTCAGATAGAATGCCAGAAGATATGCCAGATAGAATGCCAGATCGAATGCCAGAAGATATGTCAGATAGAATGCCGCATGCCAGAAGATTTGCCAGATAGAATGCCAGATAGGATGTCAGAAGATATGCCAGAAGATATGCCAGATCGAATGCCAGAAGATATGCCAGATAGAATTCCAGAAGATTTGCCAGATAGAATGCTAGATAGGACGTCAGAAGATATGCCAGAAGATATGCCAGATAGAATGCCAGAAGATATGTCAGATAGAATGCCCATGGTGGGGATGACTCGAAGTAAAGTAATTAAATTTTTAACTGACTGATGTGGTCCAAAACACTGTCAGGAGAAAGCAATTGTCATGGGCTGGGATCCATCTACTTTGATGCCTGAGAGCCTTTCAAGCTGTGAACTGGGACAAGCGTTAGGAAATGCATGGCCCCTGACTGTTAGCGCGAGGCTTGTTGGACAATTGAAACGCCTGTTCAAATGGAACTAGAAAAAAGGTGCTCATAGCTGGAGCTCACATTGTTGACATTGACCCATTGTGCCACTGACCCAAATCCAAGTTGAGGATCCAAGCCCAGCTGAGGTCCCCAGCTGGAGATGCTGCAGCCACCGGGAGGGCAGCCGTCAGTGCAGGGGAACTGGGGGTGAACCCTCAGTTATGGTTACAAAATCGACAGAAACCACCCCAGTGAATTTTAAAGTGGGATGGAAATCCTGAGTGACATCTTAAAAATGATTGAGAACCCATGCGTTGATGAAACAACAGCTTTTATATTGGGGGCCTTAGACTAGTTATTAAAGATGTTGTCAATCAAACAATTAACCTGGCTGCACTTAAGGTAAAAAATACACTGGTTTTAATAATAAGTTTTTGTGGAAAATCCCACAGGATTATTTGACTATCTTAAATGCAGGCCAGAAGAAGAAGAAATTGCTGAAAATAGGTGATGACTATTTGACTATGTTAAGTGCACCCCAGTTATGTGTATATATATATATATTACGTGTATATATATATATATATATATTACATAATATATATATATATATATTACATAATATATATATGTATATATATATATATATTAATTATAATACATATATATATATATATATATATGTATTATATATATATGCCACAAATCATATTTATATTACTAGTTAATGTAGAGTCTACCTAGGGGGGCAGCACCTAGTAGAAATGGACACTCATGAACACCATGGGCAAAAAAACACGCTTAAGATGTGTGGGATGATCTCCAAGTGCCGATCATATATCCCGTGCATCCCGCTTAGTCAATCGCTCGTATAATCCAGCCATGTGTAGAATGTTACCAATTCTATAGGGTTTTTTATATGGGTTATAACATGTATAAATAAATTGCATACTAACTAACTGGGATGCGCATTCAAGTGTAGGAATTCTGGTTGAATATGGGTTTTCTCTCGAAAGAAAAATCCAGCAAATCCACATCCTTTTGTCCAAAATCCCGATTTCTGAGCTATATAACATAGGTCAACATGGTGATTCTGAATCTTAATTTTCACCAGCAAACTGGCTGTAAACTGGGCATATATTTTCCCCTAATATGATTACTATTTCCGGACAGTTATTGCGAGGGTTATCAAACCGTTGCAGGTGCGTGAAAAGATGGTTCCACCGGTTCCACCCTTTTAGGAAACATCATCGTTCAAAGCATTTGGCCATGCTCAACAACCATCAACGCATCAACGTTGAGGATAAGCTATTTTCAGACAAGCCATGACAAGCCCAATTTGTGAGGGATTTTCATGAATTGTCCGCCGGAACTGCTCGAAAAAAGAAGGTATCCACAAAAAACTAGATGGCGTATCCAACCTTGCCAACAATGTGGATTCAAACCAACGCAAGACCAAATACTCCGAAAACATACAATAGCCCTTTTGCAACATTTTGAGGAACGGTAGGGTATGATGGTTTTGGCCCATCCCCAGAGACAAAGATGAGTGATTTCAGACTTTCAGCGTAGACTGTGATGTCAAAAAACAGATCATGTGAGGTCTAAAAGTCCAAGAACTGAAGGGAACACTCCCATATGCTCCATGTATAGAATATTTACCAACATTTTCCCCAAAAATCACCCAGCTTTGTAGGTTTTTATATACCAGCACCATGGTTCGCATATGGGACGACTGCAGAAACGTGGTGAAACCATCACCAGCTATATTTTTCCGAGAAGTTAGGCAGTTAGGCAGAAAAACTCAGGTGCCATTGGCCGCCAAGCTCATCCGAGGTCATGATCAGTCGGAGATCTGACAAATCAAGCCATCTTTTCTACAGTTATGACCCGAAATACCAGGGATAAGTACTTATAACCCCATTTATAGGATATATAATCCCATTTATAACCAGTATAACTGATAAATGGCCATAACTGTAGGGATGTTTTTCAGTAGATCCGATAAATCACTGACCATAGGACCATAGGATTCAAAAAAAAAGGGTTGAAGCCGCATTTTATTTCATCTAGAGTTGAATTCTCAATTCATAGGGATGTACACTTGGAAGTGCAGTTCCAGTGACCCAAGTGGATATGTTTCACCATAGTTATAGGCTTTTTTGGGGCCGATCATATCCCAACTGTTGAGGGGTTAAATTCACATGGTTCGGGACCCATTTACAAGCGGTACTTGGATGCATATCCCACGAAGTAAGTGGTTTATAATCCACATAGAACCCATGAATATCCCATGTATAAGTCAGGATATTCCATACATATAACTGGGGGGTAAAATCCATTTACTAAGTGGGATGCCACCCCCAAGTAAGAATTCTCATTATGGGACGGATGAGCAGCTCGCCTGTTCCTCCCATGTCCCACACGACCACAGCACACGACCACGGTGACTGTTACCTACTCTGAACTCACAGAACTTCATTGACAGTTACTACCACCTAGTACGGGATCATATAATATATATATATCATCCATATAATATCATATAATCTCATAAATATATAATTATAATTATAATATATATATATACACATACATATGTATATATATATATATATATTACATTTGTTTGTATGAATATACGTGTTTACCACAGAGTTTAGATGCTATTCGTTTTGTGTCTTTTCCCGGGGACGAGCCAAGCAGCCAGTGGATAGAGTGATGTAGCTGATCTGTTTTGGTCAGTGGTTCTGGCTCGTGCTGGGGAGGTACACGACAAACTTGCCACCGATTTCATCAGGGTCTGGGCCGGTTCCATCCTCACTGAATTTTTGAAGACAACGGGCCCCTCTGAAAAAGAGCATGAAGCCACAATAGCTGGACTCAGAGGATTATGTTTATATAAGTTAAGGACTTATGGCGATACAGCAGGGGAATGTTGAGCAGATTCATACAGCATACCACGTGCATCACTGAGGGCAAGGTTGCTGCCATGCCGATTGAAAACCAGAGGCGGTGCCAGTGCTGAATCTTGCGTGCACGTAGCTAGCTGACAAACGGTGAGCGCGCCCAAAGGCCCATTCTTGAGCAAGCACTTCAGGAAACGCTGCGGAATTCTCGCATTTTTCGTCTGGCCCAGATTATTTCGGAACAAAATTTGACGATCACCGCACCTCCCTTTGGAAGTTGGGAGACCATCTCCGCGCAGGCGCGGATCCGACAGCGCATCCGCCTGCTCCACGTGCATCACCCAGATGAGAAGCAAATCTTAGAGGCAGGGCTGGCCGCTGACACAGGGGCCGCAGGACCATTTAGATTTGAGTCTTTGTTCTTTTGGGCATTGCTTCGAATCTTGGGTAAGCAAATTTGCACCCACACCTCTATGCCAGAAATCTTTTTTGTTTTTTTTTGTCCATGTTATTTTGC